CGAACTCACAACATTCGCCCTAGTAGGAAGCGGCGTAGCGACCGCTTAAACCACTACGCCATCCGTGTAGTCATATTCCTTTTTTTTCAATTTCTTCGGAGTGACGTAGTGCTATCTCCAAACAGCAAACACCTCCCTAATATACCTAAACCTTTCGTATTTGACTGACATGACACGCCTTCCGTCTTCTTTTAAATATTTCAGTGTCATGGAACAAACTTTCTCAAATCTCTGCAGTTTTTAACAACAACTTCGGATATTTTTCCAGGTGTCACTTGGAAATGTTTTGCTAATCTTTTGGGTAAATTTAAATCTGCTTTACTATTTGGGAAAGCTCCGCAAACAGTGCCATCGAAGCTTGGGTGGAAGCCAACACTTGGCCGCATTATCATACACGACTCGATCGGGGCCGTAGTTCTAAGAGCCTTTTAGACGTTTTTATAGACAGCATCCTTAAATAAGAGATAATTTATCATAACGAATCTTGAGAAGGTTACCAAAATTTGTGCACAATTCGTTATTTATTTAAGAATGATACTGATCTGCCAAAACGATACTGAGAAATATATGTATATCCCCAAAATTAATGGCATATTTAAGAAACAGAGTTGCAGCTGTTTCAAACATGTTATAACATAATAATATTATAATACTTATAATAATAACTTAACACATCTCACACACGGCCGTCTAATTCCAAACTAGGCAGAGCCTGTGCTATGGTAACCCGACTGCTGCTAAACATACTTATATATTTCTAAATACATACTTATCATAGATAAATTACACCGAAATCTTAATAATAACACTAGAAGTTGCAACGACGCTTGAGCTTGTCGCCGCAATGATGTGTAGACGAACACCACTTACAGAAATTTGTGATCTAGTTGCGCAGAGCGTCGTCGTATGTAAATTTACGAGTATATTGTTAAAATGGTGCAGCATAATGGGCTGTGAAAACGCATCAGGGACGTGTAATTCAACTAATAAACTATCATTTTATCGGTAAGTTTATTTCTTACTAATAGACCATTTTTTATTTTATTTTATTTATTAGGGACAAAAAACAGTTATACAATGCAGTCTTTACAATTGATTTGGCATTTACATATTTAAAACGTATAACCCACACTATTGTCCACGAGTTTACAGATAAAGTAGAAAAGGTAACGGACGCGCACTATACACAATCGGTGAATTATATGTAATAATATAAGATAGATAGGTAGTTAACTGAGAATGTTATTATAGATCAGCAAGAATTTCAGTGGCAATTTTTTTAAATTTAGAGTGAGTGAGAGCGAAAATATCCAAGCTCGTAGCATGTGAGTTGTACGTTGTCAATAATCGGCGAAGAGGTGCACGCTCTCCAGCATTAGTTCTACACTTTTCCGTGTAGAATAACCGAGGTACGCGCACCTCCCTCCGAATGACAGACCTGGGTACTACATAACATAGCCTGTTTGATAATTCTGTACAATTATACTTGTTATTGCATATGCCGTACAGCATCATTAACATTAGTAAGATGCGTCTATGCTCCAAGCTTAAGAGCTTAAAATGTTTCAGAAGATCCACATAAGGAATCTTAGCATGAAAACATTTGTAATAAGTAGTACGAAGAAACTTTTTCTGTACCATTTCAATCCTCTGCTTATATTTCTTATAGAAGGGGCTCCAAATGGGTACAGCATACTCTAACTGGGAACGGACTAGTGCTTTATATAGGAAAAGGTAGGTATTGGGCTTTTTGAAGTCTTTACAGGAGCGCATGACGCAACCATACATCCGAAAGGCTTTACTTATGATATTGTCGACATGAATATCTAAATGTAATTTAGAATCTAAATGAACACCAAGATCTCGAGTACATTCGTTTTTCCTTAGACTTGTGTCATTCAGTGTATATGGAAAGTTAATAGGACTTTTGTTCTTTGTGAAGGATGTAAAGTGACATTTTGGTAAACTAAGGTGCAGTTTATTAACAACACAGTACTGTGAGAGCCTACAAAGATCTTCTTGCAATAGTATGCAATCCTGAGTATTCGTGCAGGTCTTATAGATTTTCATATCGTCAGCATACATTAGGAATTTAGAGTTAACTATACAGGTACTAATATCGTTTATAAACAAAATAAAAAGCAAAGGGCCTAGTACTGAGCCCTGGGGCACTCCGGACTCGACGACCATAAAATCGGACTCATAACCATTGATAACGACCTTTTGAGTTCTACGGAATATGTATGATGTGAACCACCTAAGTAAATTACCTCTGATGCCGTTGAAGGCAATTTTGTCCAAAAGCAATTTGTGGTCCACCTTATCAAAAGCCTTTTGAAAGTCAGTGTATACAGCATCAACCTGGATGCCCTTATCCAAGTTCTCAAATAAAAATTGGGTAAAGATCATTAAATTTGTAGTAGTAGAACGGGATTTAACAAATCCATGTTGTTCGGGAATAATAAGATGACTCAGTTGAGGAAATAATTGACCGTGTACTAGACTTTCAAAAAGCTTAGATAAGGTGGACAGTATGCATATGGGCCTGTAGTTTTCTATATTACCTTTGTCTCCACTTTTATGAACTGGTATAATGAAAGCTCTTTTCCAAATGCACGGAAATACCCCTTCCTTGAGACATTTGTTAAAAAGTATATACAAAGGAATGTGGATACATTGCGCTGTGTGCTTAAAGAGCATAGGTGGGAGACCATCCGGACCTGGCCCCTTAGTTAGATCTAATGACAACAGTGACTTTAATATAACATTCTTATCGAGATAGATGTCAGATATGCAAGAAGATATCTCAGCAAGTTCATTGGGGGGTGACCAATTCTGAGCATCAAAGGTAGATGATTCATAAACCGAGCTAAAGAATGTGGAAAATAATGAGCAGATTTCTTTGGGATTGTTAGAAAATATATTTTTATAACTCATGCTAGCTGGAAGTCCGCTGTCCTTCCTGCGTCTAGAAATGTACGACCAAAAGTGCTTAACATTGAGAGGTATGCTATCTTCAATAGATGATATATACTTATTGAAACATTGTTCAGATAGTTGTTTAAAATGTTTTCGGTAGATGGAGAATTTTTCATAATCTGATAGGTTTCGAAGTTTTTTCCACCTTACCCAAGCACGTTCTTTCTGTTTGAAAATTTTAATGAGAGGAGCACTAAACCACACAGGAAATGCAGTTGATCTAAGTCGCGTGAGTGGAACATGTAATCGAATAATACCGTATAAATATTCATAAAAAACATCTACTGCTCGGTCACTTGTGAGATGCACAAATAGTTTATCCCAATTTACGTTATTTAGTTCCGCAATTATTCCTTGGTAGTTAGCTTTATAATAATTATATTTATTTGCGCTTGGACGCTTCAAAGGTGTGTACTGTGTTTCCAGTGAGGTCAAGATATAAATTGGGGGATGGTGATTGTCAGGCTGGAGTAGCGCGATATCTGACTCTAATTTACATTCGGTATTACTGATGTTGTTGTATGGTCTGTAATCCTGTCTACTGCACGATAAGTAAATAAGCAGGGATATGAATTTCGTCCTCCATGGAGATTTTCATACTTTTTATTGTACTGCTAGCTGACCCGGCAAACGTTGTTTTGCCATATACATTATTTTAAAAAATGTCAAAACAAAAAAAATAGGTGTATGAAAAATAGATGTTGGCCGATTCTCAGATCTACCCGATAAACACACAAAATTTCACGAAAATCGGTCTAGCCATTTCGTAGGACGCACACCGTGACACGAGAATTTTATATATTAGATTATCATAATGTCCTAACTTCTATCTCGCATCATTGAAATACTCAATCAGTAATGGCAATGACGTATTCCTATCGCACACCTTGTGTTTTAACGATATCGTAAACTTAACTTTCGAACTGAACTGAGGCTTTTGGAAAGGTAAAGATGTGATCCACATTGGGGACTATCAACAAATGTTGGTTCCGTAGTACCACGCCTAGTACTTATAGCGTTTTCATATGTAACAAACTTTCCTACTTCCTACTCACTGTTCATTTTCTTTGTAAGGTTACAACTCTACTATAGGACAATAAAAGGGCAACCGGGAATAGTTTAAAATTCATAGTTATCCAAAGTTCATGATCATATTTGTTGAGGCAGGAAACCTGTAGTAACTTGGCAGGTGCAAACTTTAAAACATAGGGTTTATGTAGCTTTATCCATAAAAAGTTTCGTTGATTATTATCAACGTATTAAGGTCCCGGATTATGCCAACTATTATTTTGATTTCACTCATGTGATATAGAGGAATTAAATCCTTTTCTAGAATAGTCATTATCATCAGCCTATTGCCATCCGCTGTTTCCCCAAGGAGCGCAATCCACGTCTATCCACTACCAGCCATTTTCCATTTATTTTTTTTGAATATTAAAATATTGGAGCGGGACCGGGAGGGGTTTAGGACTCTCCCGGCCCGCGAGCCCTGGGAACGGGCCAGGTACCGCAGGCGACTCAGCCGCTGGAGGTCGCAGAACGACCTCCGTCCTCTATAAGCGCAGGCCTGCCATCTGTCACCCTAGCAGAAGCAGGCCGGGGTGGCGTCGAGCGCGTTGCGAAGCGCGCTTACTTCCAGGGAGCAGAGGGAACATGGGGTTCCCACACGGGGGGGGTCGTCTACCTGTTGTTGTAGATTAACTTAGATGGCCCGAGGTATGTCGGGGCACCAGGGACTTCCTTTCTAGGGTATAATGGCTATTTGTACCCGAGACGGCGTGCGGTTTTAGTCGGTTCGAGTCCGACATAGGTGGTAACCGAGGGGATTTCCGCACGGAAAAAAAAAAGAGTAATAATATATTACTAAATAGAATTTAATACACATTTTAATAAATAAAAAAATTACGACAGCATCTTAAAAGTTTTTTATAAATATAACTCCCAAGTTTTAATGCAAAGAATAAAAGTAAATTTTAAAATAATAACAATTTATTTCTCATAGAAAACAAATTAAGGAAAAACTAAATTGAAATATTTATTCCATATTCCTTGCATAGTTTGGTGACCTGGTGTGCAGCTACAACGGCGCGGCGCGGCAGCATCGTCACATCATCACCTGTCGCCGGACGCACGCTAAACGCCTGTAGCCTGCATGTGCCGGCCATCATCCGACCTATTACCCTACGAACCCCGAAAACATATTGAAAATACTCCATTCAGTTTTTATTTCTGTTATAAAATTAGCACTAGCGGATATATATAGCAAGACTTTTGTAGCAGTCAAACCGGCCGTTCGTGTGATGCGTCGCCACGCTATCTGATAGTATATGTAACATGTAGTACGGTGTGGTGACGCATCGCGTTGCTTATTATTTCTACAAAATAATTTCGATGTTCACATCTGCCAGACGTCACACATGAAGGCTCAGTTTTTCTTGTTGTCTTAATTAAGCCACTACTTTCTTTCTGCTCTTGGAACATTTAATTTAAAATAAAAATATAAGGAGACAAATACACACACATAGCAAAATATAATTGTTGTTTTCTATTATATGTAACCACATAGTCGATATAACGTGCAAGGAGCACACTAAAAGTTACCTATATAAACTCATTAAGTTTCAATGGCAATCGATCCCTAACAGACCAAGATTCGTAATTTAAACTTATTTGGTACTAAAAGCACTCTCTCAAATTCAATTATCACTTAACCACTACACAAATTTATTACTTTGTATGAAATGTTTCATATGTATATAAATGTTGTTTTAAAAAAACTCTTTCAATCATCATACATTGGTATATGGCTCGCAATTCACAGAGATAAAGAAAAATACAAGTATTTGCATTTCTCTTCGCATAGCACAAACAAAGGAACCATTTAGACGATATGACATCTAATTTTATTAGTTTATCGCTACAGTAAAAGCTACAACCGCGGATTAAGACTGGATTACTAAAAGGCCTACAAAGAGCGGTGGTAAACAATCCAATTACATCCAATCCCAGTTCAGACAACTGAAAGAAGATTTGAGGGAATAGTTTAGTATGAACAATTTATTTTGTGACCTACCTGCAGTGCAAACGAGGAGTATAGTGATGTAATTAAATACATTTATATCCCAAGACGTAACGGTATCTACTTGGTAATACGATGCTTCAAGGGAAGAATCACATTCAGATTACGAGCGTTTGTTTGAATCAAAATCGTATGTATAAAATGTTTTATTTGCTGATGAGTCCTCGGTGAGCAGTACACTTACCTGACCGTTGAAGGTACTTTCAGTTCCGGGAGTAAAAAATCTATTTCGTAATAAACCACTTGCATTGCTGGTCCGTTATCATCTCTTATAACCAAATTCTTAGAACAAGACTCGCCTGATCTTACACTAACACATTTCGCTGAAAATAAAAAGGACTTATTAAAGAAGAGTGGTATTATATGCATATTATATATAAAAAAATACCTATAATGCAATTCTTTCTACGATATACAAAAAGATAAAATTGATTTATAATTAAACAAATTACATTAAAATGTTCTTTGAAAGAGACTCTAATGGCATGTTTTGACTAAACATGCCATTAGAGTCTCTCTGCGACCTCCGGCGCCTGAGTCGCCTGCGGTACCTAGCCCGTGCCCGGGCCTGGCGCTCCGGGAGAGTTCTAAACCTCTCCCGGTCCCGCTCCGCCGTCTCCTTCGCGAGCATAACTTGCTCGCAGAAGGAGACGGCAGTGTTCCACGCACTCTCGCTCTGCACGATAGCCGACATCAGGCTATCGAGCGAGAGAACTCCCATCGCAGTGGTGGCACTCAGGCGTTGGCTCAGGCGGTAGGTAGGTACGTAATGACTATTACCTGATCACTTTTATGCCCGTACCTATACGTACATAACGGAATGAAAAAGTTTTAAAGTTGGTTTAGTTTATTTTATATACCCAAATAGCAAAAAAAGTGTTGGTACATTCCTCAACAAACTAACTCTTTATGACGTATTAACATATTTTTCAACTCCTGATGATGATACATGATATCAGGCTTATACAAAATAAAATGTCATCAATCAGACTCACCAACGATTTCATAAAATACAAAAACGCCGATGTCCTGCAAAGCCTTGTGCCATTTAAGCACCTTTTCTACGGGACCGGAAAACGCCCTCGGACCGCTTTTGTGAAGTGCCTGAATACAACCGTTTATTATTATAACATGGTCTCATTTTACAGATAGTACTATTTTCACAAGAACTTTTGTGTATGGATGTGTGTTTGTACAGAATTTAACAAGTAATGAAATTACCTTTATAAAATGTTATTCTCTGAAATGCAATATTGCGACATTGCCGATCGTGACTTGTTTTTTTTTGTAACGACACTTAAACGCAACAATTGAGATTTGGGTATTGGTAGACCAATAATATTTCCAATTCAAGCTGAATTCATAAATTATAACTATAAGTATTATTTTTGATGTGGATGTCCGTCAACTTATTTATTAACCAATACAAAGGATTTCAATTAAATATAAATACAATTGTTGCCACGACATAAACAAGCAAATTATATAGGATGACTTTTAGAAACATCTATCAATAAAGTAAAACTATATCCAAATACAAAATGTGTACCCCTTCGAGGATAAAGACGCAAGTGTATTATGCGTTTCAAAATATATAATTTGATTGAACTCTTTAGAGACGTTTATAAATGTATACACGAATTCCTCATAAATATTTATATGTATTATGATATATAAATCAAAAGGAATGATCTAAAAAAAGCTGTCTGTCCTTTGATAAAATACATAAGGGAAATAGCTGTTCCTACTTAACGCTTTGTACAGATAAAACGGAGGAGCCTAAAAAATGTTCAAGAAATCACTTTTTTCAAAGACAAAGGTACGGATATTGCATCGGCTGAGCGCACCGGCACACTTCCCGCAATGAACTTCACTTTATTTACTTTGACGAAATGAATAGGTAGATAGGAATAGAATATAAATAATATACTTTGCAGTTACGATTAATACCATTTAAAATGATATAAGTTGCCTACCTTAACTTCTACTATTGTTTTTCTAAATAATAGGCATCCTATTAAGTGTGCCTAGTAAATTTATATTCGTCCATATTTTAAACCGTTTCAGTAGCAGTTACATGAAAAATCAAATAAGACTAATGTTATTAGGTGAAAAATAAATTGCCATTGGACTATACCGTTGCGTTCTAAAGGCCGCAGCCTCATTGCGATGACAAAGAAGAGAAATGCTCGCAGTTACTTTTATTACCAGAGATTTCTTTAAGTTTTTATTTTATGAGTCAACTTGATATGGTTTTTGATGAAGGCCTTCTGTCAGACCGAGGGAAGATTTGATGTGGGTGTGAGTTGAGAAAGGTTTAATTATATTAATTGTGTACGTCTTTCCGACGTAGTTATAAAGGTATGTGTTTAATCTAGCAAATGCTTTCTACGATAAACGTAGGTAGTTTGGATAATTGGACTTAGATAATAATATAAATTGTTAACAACAGAACTATGGGTAAATTGATTGTGTTGGGGTTGGGCTCCACTGGCGTAATCTTTAATATCCGATCAAGATCAAGTTCAAGCGTGTGTTTGCATCTAAACATTATTTTTTAGAAAGTATTGTGAATATGCAAATATGCAATATTTTAGGGCCACACATATTTTGAAACATTTAATTTAATATTATACATAAGTTATGTTCTAGTAACAGTTTCCAAGAATACTCACATAACAGTATGCGACACACAATCCACGACGAAAATTATTTATACACAAAAATGACTTTATATTTTATTGGATATCGCAATGCATTTAAATTTCCTTGCCACTTCATCACAGCGACACCTATTCGACTGATTCCTCCTTTTTGAAAATAAAGTGCGATGTTAAGATTACAACTATAAAGCAGAGATATAAAGCTATCCCAACTTGTGACGGCTGAATTCTAAATGCTAGATTAAACACGCTTAGGTATAGTCGACTAATATAACAGAGTGGTACTTAAAAGGAGATAGTAATTTGTCCTCAAGTGAGTTCGTAGCTAATTTACATATTATAACTATCTAGCGGAAAGCAGTGGCATCTAGAGCTTCATAAAATCTACGCCTTAGAAATAATATTGAATAATTAATATTTAATACTAAATTTAAATTTCAATTTAAAAAGGTATTTGATCGGTAATCATATATAAGGTTAATATGAGGCTTCGATCAAGTACTAACGATCACGGGTGTAAGAATTTCAAAAGCAAAGTATAGTTTCTTCTAATTCTTACCTGAAGTCTGTCAGTTCTTGACATAATTTGACTTTGATATTCTTTCTTCGATGCTTGAATTGGAACCACTTTAGGTGTAGCTGCTAAAAATATAAAACTTATACTTACTTTGATACCAAAAACTCCTCCATTAAAGTGATAAAAGTTTAGATAAAATCGATGGTGAGTATTTTTTAGATATTTGAGAAGTAAGGTCTGGGAGTAAAGTAAAGTATATTTATTAAACTACTTTTAAGTGACTAAACAAAGCATAAAATCTGAGGTTATATATAACATAATTTCTAATTGAAAAAACTAAAATTAGTGCGACCCAGTGCGACCCTCAATGTAACTGGTAACATGATAAGTTTTTCGTAGGTAATTGGTCTAGTTGGCCTTAATTGATTTATAAAATCTGCGATATTGCATTAGAATGATATTGAATTCTTAATTGAGCTGACATAGACCCTTAGTATTACGTTTTGTGCATTCGGCTTGGCACCGACTAGAAAATATCTATTGCTGTTATAATGTTACCTGTTTGTTATATTGAAGGGCCGCACTTATTTTATTTTTTTCCAGTTATATTTGTACTTAATTTTTTTTTTAATTTTTAGTGCTCTTTGTTAATATCGTTTTAAGTCGGTCCAACTTTTTTTTAAAGGATTTATTTTAACGTGTTTAGTGTAAAATACATTTGTGATGAGTAGATGCCATACTTAAAACACTACGTACTGTAATGTATATTATCAAACTATAGTATGTTACATTATAATGAATTTAAAGTAAATAAGTCCGTTACTTTATTTAGATAAGGTAGTAAAATATTACATTTGAACCCGAAAATAAATTGTTTTCCACATTGTGGCGAACTACAACCGCACGTTTCCAAGGAGCCTTGTGTAAAGAAACTGCAAAAAATCTCACGGCCACTGTTTTTTAACTAACAGATAGAGTCACATATCACATTTGAATGGAACCAAAGGGGGTATACAGTTCCAAATAAAAATATAAATTGCCTAATTGGTTTACAAATAAAAGAGTTTTGAGGTAACTAATATGAAAATAATTGCGTAACAAACATTTTTTTGTCTAAATATTTTGTAATCTCATTTGTTACTTTCTTGTGCACATATCTTTGTAACCCAATACAAACACGTAATTTTTTTTAAAGAATAAAACAAAGTTATTACATGAATATATTATTGAAAGAGTTAAATCTTAAAGATCAAGGACCCTTCCATCATCAGTTCAGCAAAATGAGATAACGACAATCCAAAAGCAAATTCTTGTATTGTTTAAGAAACTAGCTAAGACACGTTGTCGAGGCTTGAGGGTCTCCCTCGATATCTCTAGGATCCCATCATCAAATCTTAATTTAGTGGCAATGGTAGAAAAAAAATTTTAAAATCGGTCCATAATTGACGGAGATATCGCGTAACAAACATACAAAAAAATACAGTCGAATTGAGAACCTCCTCCTTTGTTTTTGAAGTCGGTTAAACTAATTTAAATGTTTTTATTCCTGATTAGTAAATAACTTTTTATTTACCTAAACCAATAACAACGAGCAACAATTGCAATTCTATAATGCAGTAAAGATTACGAGGTTGAAGATTTTAAAAGACAATGTAAACTATTTTCTCACCTAAGATTAGTTACATAAATATGTTAAAGAAAATCGCTTTGCCATAAAAAAACTGAAAGATATTACGGACCCACTACAGTACAGGACTCACTTCCGTGACCTCGTAATTCCGTTCGCTTCAACAGTTCGTCATATGATATCAGAATGGACACTCTTTAATAACACATATATAATGAAACTGCTTCCCTATATTTTTATCTCTAGATTCTTATTCTGCCCCCGATAGTTGAAAAGGCGCATCTAGCACAAAATCTAATCTAAAAACTATCGAAGGTACTTTAAATCTATTTTACTGCTCAATGTAATCATTAGAAGCTTTAAACGGAAAATATACAGTAGGTTAATGAACCAGAAGAAACATGTTAATTGTTTCTTCTGGCTAATTAATGTATTTTATTATACTATAATGTCTATAATGTATTTATATGTATTTCTATTCCAAGGCTAGAATTATCTTTATAATTTCGAATACTTAAGTAAAGAGGCGCATATCACCAAATGCCCTTTTTTTCTTAAAACATAAAATACAGATCTACATACAAATACTTACAGTAAAAGTACTCCAAAAAGCGTTTGAGATGTAAAAGGCGCGTCTGGCTATTTGCGTCTATTCAATTAACAATTTTCCATTTTTTTGTACTAATTTTTTTAATGAAATAATTTAAAAATATTTTTATTTTTATTACCTACTTGGTGTTAAAGATATGTCATGCATATAAATTTAAAGGTTCAATATTCAATTATTTAAATTTACTCAAAGACAGCAAACGATTTCCCATTAAATTTTTTAAAATATTTTTTCTCCATTTTGACTTGTTGTTTTATTACATGCGCCTTTTTAACTATGATGCTCTCTGTAAATTCACTGAAGATATTAACGTGCCAAAATGATAATGAGGAAATGTTTTTGGGACTAACAATTGTTTAGAAGCAATAACTATAAATTGCGTAAACAAAGTATGTACACATCTTTAATTAAATCACGTTCTTTCGGTAACAAGGGAGACTTTTTGAACTCAACCCATTGGGGGAGCGAGTTAAAACGCGTATCCTGCCAAGTATCTCGAAGTTTTGCTTTAGAACTTAGTTCTGGAAAATACACAAGTAATGAGCTTGTTAGTCGGAGTTACAGCTTTGCTACAGGTTGGTAAATACTTTGTTATTTGACACCCTTAGGTAATGCGTAAGGTTTTTACATTTGGCTGATATAAGGTTAGGGCTGCCATAAATGCTGAATCGCCGACAATGCTGAATCGATAACAAATTCAAAAGTTCGATGAATTTAGAACTCTAATCATACATTTTTCTTCTTCTAATCAGACTATCACATCAACAGCCTTTAATAGTCTGCGTGTGCAGGACGTCGCCTAAGTAGAGAATATACCCGAGAATGGTGCCCGCGCCATTGCGGGGATCTGGATGTCTTAATAATAGCAGTTCCCGGATCTCTCCTATTACAGGCGCATAGTGGCACACCGTGTGGTTTTAGTAGGTCCGATTGCGACACACCACCACCGTAAACCCCGGTTGGGTGACTGCCCGAGGGGGTTTGCAAAAAAACAAAAAGTTTAGGTTTGGTTGACGCGCATTCCATGGCTGTTTCAGTCACGCACGCCGGATGCACGTAAAGAAAAGACAGCGCCAACCCGTAAAATCTGCATCTCAACGTGGAACGCGACTGGACATGTGAGAAAGTCCACCTGAAGGAGGATGGCTGTAGGTCTCCTGAAGGAGACTCATTGGGAAAGTAGTAAATGCTGGTTTATTGGGAGTGAGTAATAATATACATGAGTGCACCTGCTGTGATGAACAGCGTGACAGATGTGCTTTTGGAAGACCTACAGAATTACATGCTAGAAGTGAAATGCTGTTATACTCGTAAATGCCTACGCACCATATGCTAGTTGTGTCGATTATCGTTCTGTAATCAACTGCTTCGGGGCATCGCCTCTCAGAGAGGTGATTTTGTGTGAGGAGTTTGGACATGTTCACGGTCAATTACGGTGGTTTTGGATCTGACTATCGGAAAGTTGAAAAAATTATATTCAGAACCGATCTTGACACTGTGAACATATATTTCAAACTACGACTTGTGCGACCTAGCTACCAAACCGGGACAAATAGCTTATGACCGGGACACTGAGACATCACGGGTCAATACTGGGACATGTCCGGTATACCGGGACGTATGGCAGCCCTATATTACGTTCATACATTACGTTCTACGTTCATTATCGCGTTCATATGTTTTGTTATATGTTCCTAACGATTTTTTTGTAGTAGTTTTTTTTTCAGAAATGTAGACTGCAAAGGTGCGTATAAATTAAAGTAAAATTAATGTTACATTTATGCAAAAAAATCTGGGTACATACATATTAAACCTTGCTAGAGTATTTTTAAATAAGTATATTAATGTAGCTGGATGCTGGAGTCTAATGCCAGGACAAGTTGTGACAAAAGACTAAAAACATGATAATTATAATTTATATAGTGTGTATTTTTCTTCTATATTTTTACCATTCATTGTTATAAATGGTTCAAAATTCTTTATTGTCGTCTAAATAATAATATTAAATTATTTTATAGTTGTGAAGAAACCTGTGGACTATTATTATCGACAGTTTTTCACTTGTACCTAATTAGGTATAGGTCTTATAAAACAAAAGTGCATTTGATTTTGATTGTAAACAGCCGCATTCATTACTCTCACCTTTAATTTGATGCTCTTGTGTGATTCCTTTTTGCATAACTTCTTTAGGTTGACAATCTGCATTTGTTTTTCTATCATAAAACATCTGTTGCGGTAATTCAGGACGCCGAACTGTGTGAATTAAAGTTATATTTAGTAACATAAAAATTAATATTGTTAATACCGTAGTATTTTACAAGATTGCTGTTATTAACAGTGATGTTAAATTGAGTAGGTACACATTAAACCATAAACTTTAAAATGTTGTTTTTTTAGTTAAACTTTTTTGAAACATTTTATTTTAACAAATATAATGTAATATATTGTCTCTTCTAGAACAGAAAACCTAAAATTAGGTTAAAGTTTCGAACAACAAAGTACTAGATATTAACGGTCTTGTTTTTAACAATAATAAATAATATACTGATGCTACTGCGATAAGGCCTACCATGGTACCACTGTTTTTTATTTTATGTTTATATTGCATTGTATGTTTTCTATCCATGGTGTGCAATAGAGAGTACCTATATACAATTAAAAATGTCTGTTACTACATTTTTTCTGGCTATTGCTCTCTTACGAAGACACGCTCTTTGAATCTGTCTTCTTGCGTATTGACCTTGGTTATTATACACTTGATTGTTTGTGTCCGTAGTAGTTGTTTTAGTCCTTTTAATTTTGGCATTCCTAATACTCCAAAAGCACCTGAATCCTTCTTTAAATAGTTATAAACCCCGTGTTTTACCTTTACAATCCAAGTGGGTATAGGTATGGGCCCTATTTAATAACTCTATTTTCTTAGTTTCAGTGCTGTTTTTGTAAGGGAATAATCAACTTTAATAAAATAATCGATATGGCTGTAGTCTACCAAAATATGCGGTAATTATCAAATTTTAATCCTAATTTCTTAAGGTGACAACGTTCTCTTACATATTTTGAATAACAGGACTGACCACTATTTGGACTAATAGATTTATAAAGGGACAGGGCACCTTATTAAAAGTCTTACGAATTTAACACCTCTATGGTTCTATACTTTATTGAATATAGTTAAGCTTTCAACTGCATCAATCGGAGCAGCCTATGAACTGTGCTCTCCCAACTTGGTTTCCTCCAAAAGAAAAAATACAGGAAAAGCGTCTAAAACCAAGAGATTTATGTGTTGGACAGATCAGATCCGCGACACCGTAACTAAAAGAGTCCCCAGCCGTACACACTGCTGAAGACCGGAACAAGTGAAGGGCGATCTTCTGAAAGATAAGGAGGTCACGAGCCTCAGCAAACCTGTTATCGAACTAAAAGTTTATTTCAACGCTTGCCTCTACCTAAAATTGGCTCAAAAATGTTTGAATTTCGATCGTACTTATTATAATATATCTAGCTACTTACCAGTATTCATCCCTTGGGTGAACATTTTAGGCTTAGACTTTTCAACTCCAGTGAAGCTTCGGTTTTGGTAATTCGACCCAAAACTAGGATTGTTTGGCATATTACCCGATTCACATTGCATCGGTTGACCTAAAATTTATATTTATACATATCGTTATATGAATACATTAATATACTTAATTCTTTAACATTTGGACTCTTTATATGTATTCCTAAAAAAAACATATTGAATGCCAATGCTATTTTCTGTGCTTAATGTTTAATGAAATGATTTATCTAAATAGCAAAACCATTTTAATACATATTTTAATTAACCCCAATTATCCGTTTTCAAAACTCCTTAAACGTAGAAAACCTATATACTTAATCGCAACCAATAAATATGATCAACCATTATGCAGTTGTACTTATTTTAAAAACTGTAATCGTTTAAATTATGTACTGATCGTTATAAATAATAATATAATACATTGTCGTTTTATCATATTCTTGTTGTAAAATACCCTGTTCTGGGGCAGCCGATATTTTAACAATATTTGAGAATTATAATTCCCACATTAATAAAAAAATATATAAAAAATAGAAATAAAAATAATTAGTACCCTAAAATCCATTAAGTACCAGAATGGCTCAATAATCAAAGTAACTTTATCTACTACATTTTAATTTTTGTACTATAACACTATTCCCTTGTAAACAAAATAATAATCAATGAATCATTTTAAAATATTTAATAAATATAGCCTTTACAATAAAATATATATTTACACTAGCTGACCCGCGCAACTTCGTCTGCGTCTCTCAATAGTAATAAATTTTCTCAAAAGTTTTTGAAAAATTCTTCATTGGTCCTCCGCTCCTATTGGTCTTAGCGTGATGATATATAGCCTATAGCCTTCCTCGATGAATGGGCTATCTAACACTGAAAGATTTTTTTAAATCGGACCAGTAGTTCCTGAGATTAGCGCGTTCAAACAAACAAACAAACAAACTCTCTTATAATATTAGTATAGATTTACATTAAGTTTAAAATATTATTCTTGTGATGTTCCTGCTATACTCGTATTAACTAGAACTGGTACTTTGGGCGAATGGGACTAGGCGCTATTATTTATACATGTAAATACCTAAGTTTAATTATCTTTATTTTTAGAGTTAACAAAAAGGTCTTTCAAGTTAGTTACCCACATATTATTTAAATTTTTTTAACGAGAAAAAAAGGTTATTGTTAATTTGTGCTTAGAGAAGTATAGATAGTATCGGGTACCAATTATCCTGTAAACATTGTAAATGTGGATTAAGGAAAAGGTACTCAGCTTTAATAGATTTTCGGTTAGATTAGGAATCCCACAGAGCACAATTTGTAAATAAGGTACGATTACATGATTAAGTTTTTTAAATGTGAGATTTATTTAAGTATAAATTATGTATGGTTTTACAACTTAATTGTTTCTTTGTTAGCACAAGTTAGCTAGTCTTAAATAATTCAGACAGACTAATTCGAAAGTTATGTCCAGATAGGAACAAATTTGCTACGTAATCGGTACTTGGGAACGAAACTGCTATCCGTTCAGTAGCTTTTCTCTTAATTTATATAATAAAATCGGTAAATTATAAATTACGAGGTTTTAGTGATATCAAAACAAATGGATAACAGTCAAGTCCTTATACTACTTTCATTAATCCATTACCTACCTAATTCAGTTTTATTTATCTTTTTTTTGTTTCTATTACTTAAAATTACACTTTTTAATAATCACTACCACGAAATATTTAAGTTATATGTCGAAAATAACAATAGTAAAAAAAACTTATATTTTTAATTTTATTTATTCTTGTGAAAAGAGCTAATCTCTATCCAATAATTAAGGAAGCTTACCCGCAACAATATATTGAGCACTGTTATCCGCATAGTTAGCTAAATATCTAGGGTCGATTCCTGTCATCATTTGTCCTTGAGCTGGATGTAACTAAAATATACATTTCATAAATTAAACTCACATTTTAATTATAAATAAAGTCTACATGTTTTGAACTGTGATAAAGAACTTATTCTTTAAAGGGAGAAAAAAAGTCTTATATAATGACAGCTCATTTCACAGCCGTAAAAATTATCAAATAGTCAGGTATTGGGTAGGTATATCATACGTCATCTCATGAAACATTTACTGCCTAAAATGCATTGTAAAAGTTTTTTAGCAGAGACCTCTATTAAGTAAGACCATCTGCAGTTTGTTTCGAGAGGTTCAAATTCTTACTTACTCTAGTAAAACGTCAATGAAGCTCTACATACCTACATAGTGATTATGTTAATAATACGGTTTACAATATTATTTAATTTAAAGCCACTACTATCTACATTAAAATTGACAAAGACAGATAGATAACATACGTTTTGACCAATAACTGGAGTATTCACATTGCCGATATCTATGTAATTTGAGTTAGGCACAGGTTGCATGTTCGTAAACTGATTTGCATAAGCACCGCCATAGTAAACAGTTTCGGTTGGACTAAACAAAAACAACGTAATTTTATGTTTTAAGGCTATAAAGAATTTGTAGGGCTGGAAATGTTTACAAAGAATGCTACATTGTTTCAAAACTGTTTTAATAAAAAAAAACAATGTCGTAAAAAATGTAAGTTGGTACCTAAGTATTCATGTTAACATTCTTTCACGAGTACTTAGGTAAGTCGCATAACAATTATAAACACAGGTTAACAATTAGGCATACCTACTTACTTAGTCATGCGATGTTTTATGTGAAATTTATTGTGTTACTTATTTAAGAATCATATAACAATTCGCCTCGATGCACTGCCATAGCAGTGGACGGCAATAGGATGACGACACTCGATGCACTAATAACGCAACACATTTGTATTCGAATTTTATCAATGCAATGCTGCTTATACCTACATATTTAAACTGATAAGTAGATCAGTTAGAACTAAATTGAAGGGGAAGAGGGATGAAAATGGCCAGAGACAACACATACAAGGCCTTACCATATTAAAAACAAAATCGTACACTTTGCTATAACGTATAATATACTATTAAAATTTTGTGCCTTTAGAGGTGACGTTTATCTAAGTTACACTAGCCTAACATCAACTGCTCATCACCCTTTTTCAAATATTACTTCTCGGTGCAGGGACGTCGATTGTTAAATATTTCTCCCTTACTGGTACTGAACTATATTCATTGTGAATAGCATACATTTTTAGCAACTAGATTAAAGTTATTGAATCACTAGTCATGATGTACTTTGTAGTACGTTGTTTTGTTTTTTTTTAATTAAAAATCAGCAGTAGCGAGAAGAAAAATAGTTACCTACAAAAACCTTCAGTGGTCGTCATCAACGGTTCTACTTTACCAAAGCTAGATATATGCTTTTTAAAGTAAATACACGTGTAAAAAAAATCAAATTGATGAATTTTCAAAGATTTCTGTAAATTTTCTCGGGGTTTCAGGTTCAAATCAAATTTTAAATTCTGTATACAGTACCCGTGTGGTGACGGAGTGTTACTACCCCTATTCATCCCATGGGTGTCGTAAAAGCCGACTAAGGGAGCAAACTACGCAGAACAAGTTAGAAGAACAAGAGGTTAGTTAGGCTTAGCAAATGATTCAAGTGGTCTCTTCGGTAGTTAAAATTCAAATCATATAATAGTTATAAGCTTGTTAATTGTTTGTTTTATATATTATTGTTTATTATTTTATACTACTGACTGTCCAATAAATAAATAAATAAACAACAGCACTGCAAAGAGAAGGAAAACTTTACACAAACCCTATACCTACCCGTCTGGCCAGCGTTGTATAGTAGGCCAAAACCTCATTTCTAAGGAGAGGCGTACGTTCAGCAGTGGACTATCAAAAGCTATTGATGTGATAATTGTGATGCCGTCCTTGAGTAATCGAGTAACATACTAAAGAAAACTTAAAGATCGCGACGAATCATAAAAATCGTCATTTGATTAAGTTTAAAGACAGTCAAAAACCTAACAATTTTCTTTTTGAAATTATGAATTCCACAACCACAGTCTAGACCAGCTGCATTTAAAAATCAGTAGGGACCTACCCAACTAAATTACGTATTAATCCAGATGCGGAAAGACAATATTAGGTACCTATTCAAAAATTACTAATGGTATGAATGTTACTCACTTTATGTAATTTTTGCCAGTATTCGTTGAAAATGTCATCATTTGATTTCCCTGAGGATAGTCTGAAAAATATATTATTTTTTTATAACAGGAAACGAAATACAATACAGTTCATTCATCATCATCATCATCAGCCTATCGCAGTCCACTGCTGGACATAGGCCTCTCCCATTGCACGCCACTTAGATCGATTTTGGGCTAGTTCATTACATCATTATAATAAAATAGTTCTCACTTGTTCCAATTCTTGCTTCTCTTATTACGTATCTATCCATTCTTAGGACTGTAAATCGTAATTTTTACTGAAACTGTTTACTATAATAACTAGAATAGAAACCCACGGCAAAATTTAAATTTGGCGCCAATGTAATAACTTTTACGAAGTGTGACTCTGGTTTGAAATTGCGTTTTTTTTTAACCTATTGAAAGCAAAAAGGTATCATTAAAATACAATATATTTTAAGAATCCCAATTAATATTTCAATGATTAAAATACAATAGAAAAAAAAAGATAATTAAATAAAGAAGTTAAACTTTGATTAACTTTAAAATTAATAATCTTTGACTTAATTTTCTGAGTTTTACTAGTAATAATTTACATTTAGGTTTAAGACTATATTAAAAAAAAAATAGAATTTGTTCGAATTTTGACTAGAGTGCGTATGGAGGAAACCTGCGTTGAAAAAAAAGTTACCAACTTAAAAGTTCTTGCTTATATTCATGGGGTTGATACACTCGTAAACCCCCACGAATAGGTCTAGTAATAAAGCAAAGTATCCTTTATTACTAAACCTTAAAATTAAATATTTTGAAAATAAAATTACTTCAGAAATGGTGAATTATGTATTATTTAAGATGATTAAGAGTAAATAAAATTTGAGTCGTTTGTAGTGGGGTAAATATTTCTAGAAGCTGGTAGCATTGATTTATTTTGACACAATTGACATATTTGACACTATATGATTATACGTAAAGTGACTGACTTATCATGAATCATATTTAAAGTAAAGAACTTTGTAAATAATTCAAAGAATAACATTTTAAAAACTAATATAATGGAGCTCCAAGATACATACTATAATAAATCGGAATATGTAGAAACCGTACGTTTATGTCTTTTTAAAGTATTACAGATATAATGCTGTTTTTTTTAACTAGGTATACGTGTTAAATGCTTTCAGGCTTCGGGAAATAAAGTAAGCAGACAAACTGTGCTCTGTGGTTCTCAGAACATAGTCCTGCACGGCAAAGTAATAGTTCAGAGTGATGCTATAATTAGAGGAGATTTAGCAAACGTAAAAACGGGAAGGTTCTGTATCATAAGCAAAGGCTCTGTTATTCGTCCTCCTTTTAAAAAATTCAGCAAGGGGTAAGATATGTTTGCACTGTAAATTTTTATTCAAATTATTCTTTTACGTAACTACTCGAACCATCCTCATGACATAATGTTGCTTGCGACACAATAGAATATAAGGTTCCTTTTATACCGAAAAAAAAGCACCGTTCTAAAAGGCTAGACAAACGACTTTTACGTGGGCGGAGCCATATGTTCCTGGCAAATTTTGATGAACTAATAAATTTAAATTATCAATACTTACTTAAAATATATGTATTAGTAGTTTCTTCTCATTTGTAACATTTTCAAAAGCTGTGAAGATTATTAAAATCCATTATAAATTAATTGTTCTTCTTTTGCAGCGTTGCATTCTTTCCTCTCCAAATGGGTGATCATGTGTTTGTTGGAGAAAATACAGTTGTCAATGCAGCTGTAGTTGGCTCATATGTTTATATAGGAAAGAATGTTGTTATTGTAAGTAAAATGAGGAATTTTCTATTACTTAATTTAAGTAGTTAGTGGAGACTTCTTTGATTAGATGGATAAAACAAAATCCTTGCAATAACAAGGTACCTTTGTAACATATTTGAGGTATTATATCTTGTCTGGGTTTTAATTAATGGTTGGAGAGAACTTACACTACCAAGTAGACCACTAGTTGTCTATATTGTTATTTATTGACTGGCCCTTGGTATATACCTAGTAACTAATCAATGATCATGATATGATCAGTGGTTTATTTATTTAATTTAAGGAAAAACCAACAGCTTTTTTTATTTATTTAATTTAAGGAAAACCAACCATTTCAGGCAAAACAATTTATAATGGAAAACCAATTACAGGTTTTTTTGAGTAAAATAACAGGATTATCCATATAAATTGAAGAACACTCAGTACACAAACATGTCATACAAATGCATTCAGTATGGTTTCTTTGAATAGGCTTATCACTTTGTATGGTGTAGGGATCCAAATCATATTCTTTCCACAATATGTTGAAATCTCTACTTGCTCGCACCATATAAGAATTCATTCTGTAATCAGATGTTGTGTTGATTGAAAACAAACTAGACCTAAACCCACTCAAAAGTGGGTTTAGGTCTAGTTTGTTACGTTGGCAATACTCATCCAAACGCTTTAGGTCTTGTTGCAGAGCCTTCACATCCTTTAAATGTGATGTGATACTGATGAGAAAATGTCATCCTCAAAACTAGAGTAGGTAGGTAGTAGGTGTTTACTCTACAGTTACTTGATAGTATGTTTAAAATAACCATTAAACCACTTGATGCACCATATATTAATTCATAGTTTTTTGGAAGTGAACACTTAATTTCGCCAGCCTTTAACATACCCTATAATTTTTAAGTCTAAACCTATTTGCTTTATTTGATGTCTATGATTGGGACTAATTTTGTAGTCAGATCTTGTTCTGATGGGACCAAATCTCCAAGTTCTCAGGAATTGGCTTTGTAGTTTACATAATTAGAACCCATGAAATAATACTGTTTAGATTTAACTGGTTTTTTTAACATAAGAAAACAGATAAAGAAAAGAATTGGCTGTGACAATGCAGCATAATTCAGCAATAATTTTGTTAAAGAAACATTAATAATCAAAATCATTTATTATATTCTAGTGACTACAATAAAGTTAGCAAAAAGTTAGCAAACACCATGTTATAGTAATGTAACGTAGTCAATAAGTACCATATGTATTATTATTTTACTATTTTCTGGCCTGTTGGTCTTGTGGTTAGTGACCCTGGGTGCTATGCCAGAGGTCATGGGTTTGGCCCTACCCCTACCCAGGACAAATAATTGTGTGATGAGCACGGTCATTTGTTCTGTGTCTGGGTGTACTTTATCTATAATAGGTATGTATTTAGAACTATGTAAGTATGTTTATCGGCAGTCTGGTTACCAGGCTCTGTCTAGTTTGGGATCATACAGCCATGTGTGACATGTGTGAAAATATTATTATTATTATTTACAACAGAAACTTACTTCAGTACCATCTAATGAAGGTACACTGAACTACTATTTAATTTGTTATTGCAGGGGCGTAGATGTGTCCTTAAAGACTGCTGTATGATTGAAGATAACTCTGTACTGCCTGCTGAAACAGTAGTTCCCTCTTTTGCAAGATATTCTGGCAGCCCAGCTCGACTCATCACCACATTACCTGAAGCCACACCAGATCTGATGACAGAATTCACTAAAAGCTATTATCAACATTTTTTACCAACTACAGTGCAATAATTAATTATTATTTTTTGTTATGCTTAACTTAATATTTATAAACAGGCGTAAGTTACTAGATTTAAGTTTATTTTAAGAAGATTTCATTGATACTCCAATAAAAAAATTATATACATTTAATCTACTTTTAAACCTCATTTCTAAGGAGAGGCCTATGTCCAGCAGTCGACTATTAAAGGGTGTTGATGAATCTACTTTTATGTTCACTGACTAATGATGGTCTCTGCCTTTAAATAAGGCATTAGACTTTGATCTTGTTCATGTAAAAAAATTTATGCTGCTCTCAATCATGACAAAATTACAATTTACAAGTGTGGAACAAGTACATAGCAGCTTCTTACCGAATGGCACAACAGTGACGGGAGATGTATATTGCCAAGAATTGCGAAAACAATGATGGACAAGCTCTGAAGTCAATATCCACGACTAGTCAATCGCTCTTCCCCATTGCTTCTCCACGACAACGCCCGAGCTCACACTTCACGACAGAACATCGCAAAGCTACAAGGGTTACAGCTGGAAGCTACTCGCTCTGGACATCGCATTGGTGGCATCCTGACGTTGGCTCCTTGCGCATGAGACATAGGTAATCTCCGAAGCATCCTTTCCCGCTGATCACCTGCGTCAGCCGGTATGAGAGGGTCCCATGTTGCCTCTACAACGGGTCTTACCGCCGCAATAACGGCCTCCTGAATGCCTCCTTTATGAAATCCTGAACCTGAATATTGAAAGCTAATATGGATTCATAAATATTCATATTGTAACTAATATCGGCAAAAAAATTAAGGATTACTTTTCCTAAGTAATCTAATACAGTAGTAGTAAACAGGTAAAAAGTGTAATGTAAACTTAAATATTGTAAATGGAACCACATTTTTGATTTTGGAATTATTCAAACAATAGATATTGAAAAAATGTAAAATTAGTTTTTAGGAATGTTCGATTGAAATTTTTTAACGTACCTAACACTCACATCTGCTTTTATGAGAATTGGTGCTGTTAACTCTGAATATTGAATTGAAACAGTCCTAACTTTTAAACGGATAGTTTCTTTTAAATTATTTTTGAAGTTGAATGCCAAAGACAAGTACCATTTTTATTTTCGGCTTTTCAAACCGCCTTACCTTTCACATGCTTACATTTTTTTTTTGGTGTTATTTCTGTTGCCTCCAAGACATGTTGGTTTAAGCAACTGCACCAGAAATTTAAAACTTAACTAAATCAACACTGTTGAGTTAAATAAAAAATTATGTTGTAATTTTTTTGTCCCCTGGAAGTGTTAGAAACTTGTATTTCGAATCCTTCTTATGATTTAAACAGCCGAATACGATTGTACACCTACCGATACTTTTTTCTTACATTAAAGTTAAACAATAATATTTATCATACAACACGACACGACTCGAGCGAATCAGACAACGCCGTCATGCTAAGCCGGGCATCATGCACGTGACTCGTCGACGGGTTTGAACTCATCGACTTGTTTTAGGCCTACAGTACGGAGTGGACCTGGGCTGCTTCCCTTGAGCTCAAATACCTTTAATAACTTACGACTGTAAGGGCTCGTGCAGAGTGCGAGCGACGTGACCTAGGTCGCGGCGACTTGATAGAACGTATGATGTCGGGTTAGACCTTGTGGACACTACGATATTTTTAGGTATAACACTTAATTCTAAGCTACAATGGGGCCAACATTGATAAATTATCAAGTAGACTCAGCTCAGCAGCATACGCACTAAGCACAGAGTACATTGTAATATACTGAAAAAAACTACTACTCTGGGATTTTGTCTTACTGGCAGTAAGACAAAATCCGGATATATACAATATACAATAATAATAATGACATATATACAATAATGACAGTAACAAGTCAATAATTATATGAAAATGTAATGTAATTTCATAAAAACAAAGATAGCTTTTTGAAAAGAATTTATATACATTCTATAAATACCAAAAACAGAAATAAACATATACTACCCGCCTCTTGGCTCCAAAAGACAAACAAGTATTTTCGAGGTCAATGTGTCCGATTTTATAATAAAATTCCAAATAATATTCAAGACTTAATTATTAACAAATTTAAATCCGCAATAAAACGTGAATTGTGTCGGAGCCTATTACTTAATTGTGGATTACATAGAAGACAAAAATCCTTGGGATTATTAGGCGCAGGCTATTTCCTCAGTAAAAATGTGGGCTAGTGTGTTTTTTATTATATATTTTTTTCAATTTTTGCATGTTTTACTTCATTTTCTATTTTATTCGTTTTTTTCGTAATCTTGTTTTCTCTTCATTGGTGCTAATTCTGTCAAACGGTGTTTCATATTCTGAAAACGTAATACTTGACTGTACTAAACTATTCTTAAATTTTTAGTTTAGTTTATAGAGTTTTCGAACAACAGAATTAACACAATTGTCTTTTAGTCCTTAATAACGGACATACAGGCACACATCAAAACAATGTTGTGGTATATTTAATAATGCCATTGTATCTATCTGTAAATTGCAAAATAAAGTGGCTATGAGTTTGTTTGCCCTTTCTTCTTATAAGGCTCAAACCCTTGGAAACGAGCGGTTATAGATCGACACAGGCATATCATAGATTTTGTATAAGTTTAACTTTTATTAAATTTATTTGCTTACAATTTGACAAACCAGAGATTGTTGCTATTGTGGGTGTTGATATATGAGTTTAGAATCTTCATAAAAGACGACTTCAAACAATTTAAAATAAATTATGAAATAGAGTTTGAGTTTTCATGGAACTAAACGGTTCAGTGCAGCATGCCTGCCCGCGACTGACTACCAGTGGTCGCCAGACTTGCAGCAACTAGTTGCCAGAAATGGATTGCAACTACATAGCGCAACTTTTTTGCAATCTATTTTATTATAATAATGGATGCAGAAGACATATTAGATACAGTTCGTACCCCAAGGCAATTTTCTTCTTCTTCTCATCTTTTTGATAGCACGAATCTGTAAAACAGTGACACTATATCCATTTCCGCTCTACTCTTCTTCATCAATCCAAAAAAAAAGTATGTTCAGTACTAACCCCAAATAGGTACCTAAATTTGAATTGCTACCGATCGGTCGTAAGTAGTTGCTCAGCGCTCGTCACCCGCAAGCTGCACTGCAACCGTAGCTGGAAGTTAGCGCGACTGAAGTCGTGCTACATCGCTGACACGCTACACGAGCCTTAAGGTATTTAAATAAATCTAAACAGTTTGTCAATAATTTTATTTAAAACTAACTCTAGTTTCATACACGCAGTCACTGTTTTGGATTTTATCCGTATTAAATCATTGACATTTGAAAATTTGAACTTCATTCAGGAATTCCATTGGTATGGCATGTGGCCATGTAATTTTCATGTCCTACAAGCACATTCAACGTAATGTATCGATGTATTGTCCAATTCGGAAATAACACCTTAAAGCGCTGTTGCACAGAGAGAACAACGTCATGTCACGATGCAATTAATTCATCGTAATTACATAATGTAAGTACTTAGCAAAAGAAGAAGTTTTGTAAACATTACCTAATTGAAAAAGCCCGAGATGCCAAACTTTACCCAACAAGACCCAAACAAACTAATTTAGTGTTTGTTGTTGGGTGGAAGTTGTGTTCATGAAACTATGTATGAAACCGAGTACAATATAATCCATGTTTTTTAAAAGCCCTTTTTTATGGGTATCCGACCGGACACATTTAGTTCCATTCTAACTTTAAATGATTGTATAAAAAAGGAAATTATCTAAATCAAATATGCTACTGATTATACTCTCGTAGAAAGGAATGTAATCACAGTTTGATGACAAGACGCGAGTTCCTTTTGTTTTCCAACAAGCGTGTGTGTCAACCAGTCAAACCGTACTCCAATCGACATAAGGAGCAGTGTTCTTTGACAGAAAACACAAAGTATTATTTTATTGTCTTCGTTTCTACATGAAAAACTCTCAATTGTCGTCGTCGAACCTACGATCTATTTCGTTTTATTTTAAATTAAAATTGTTTAAATAGTTTACTTTGAATTAAAATATTAACTATAGATGTTGTGTAACAGAGGAAGGGTATCATCTTAATATGGAATATCATTATTCCGATCTTTGCATGCCGTCGGATCACCTTCTAACTGGTACGTAAAGTTTTTTATAAAATAAACGGGTATTTAAATAAATATATAACACTTTTGACAAAACTATTACTTTACTATTCCACACACATCTTCCAATACACACATCGGATATTAAAAACATTGTTTTTATTAATTTTATGTACAAGTAAACAAGGATGTTTGTACGACATTCTCAAGTTTTGATATAATTATTTTTTTTACCAAAATCATCGATTAAATTGATATAGTCATTAAAAGAATAGGAACATAGAAAATTGTTAAAACTGAAACTTGAATCCTTTTCTACTGTATATTCTGACTTCTAATATGACTTCTGATGATAAATGTTGTTATTACTTTAAACAAGTTCTTTTTCACTCTTTTCGTATAAAATTTATGACAATGAGTTAGTAGATAGTGATACAAAAAGATTAATATAACACCTCTTTCCTCCACACATGGGCATCCCACTTAAAATAACATTCAAAAGTATTATATCAGTACTTATATCAGTTGCAAGATAAATTAATGATTGTCTCTGGTTTCTGATCTGCAATGAATTGCTATTAATCTCTCAGGACAATATGCCACAGAATATGGCAACCAGTACATGGCTCCAAACAAATCAGCAGAGTATGAGGTGCGGGCCAGTGTACTGGTTGATGGCGGAGACAGGTTTGGAGTGTCAGCTGTTACTTTTGACAAATATGAAGAGCTAATATGGATGGGTAATCAAGGAGTGAGTATTGCAGTAGTTTTCTTTAAGGAGGTTAGATATTATTACCTGAATATGTTAGGAGGCAATTGAGGCAAGAAATAATGTAAATTTTCTAAGTTTGAGTGATTACAATGTTATTTATCCTGAACTATTCAATTTAAATGTGAAAAGAAAATATAGTCTTTCTTTGCAACTTTTAAATTAAATTTTAAAAACTAACAAAATAGTAAAGAAGAACTATTCTTGTAAGGTCATATGCTAATGTAAATTTAAACATTAATGTGAATTGATTTTGCCTGTCAGTCTAGTGGTTAGCAAACCTCACTTAAATCAGAGGTTGCGGTTTGATTCCCACTAAGAACAAATATTTTTTGATAAGCATGATATTTGTTGTTACTGGATGTAAATTATCTATATAATGTAGGTATTTAGAAATAATATGTAGGTATTCAGAAATTTATATAGTGTTTATTATTTACCTCTTTCTACCCCTTTGAAGGTAAGGATGTAAGTGTTTATATTTGCATACTGCAATATATTACACTGGCTGCATTTGTTTGTTGTAGCCAATTTTTTTTTAAAATATTAATTGTCTGCACTTCTTCTTTACGTAAATTTAAGCACTCCAAATTTAACATTTTTACATTGACAAAGAATTCTCCTCAAGTCAACAGCTTTTGATAGTCAACTGCTGGACATAGCCCTCTGCTTTAAAAGGAGGTTCTCTTCACATAATATTATAAATATAATTATTTGTGTATAATGCCTAAAATAAGTATAATGAGAAAAAAAAAAACAATGATTTTGCACTTTCTGTAAGATTTTTTTTTTTTTTTTTTTTTTTTTTTCTTTCTATTAAAAAAGACAACGCCCGCATTAGGAATAAATCCTGTGTCGCGGGGGACTTTACAAACATACATGAAACGGACACAAAGAACACCCAGACTCAGAACAACAATTTGTGGATCACACAAAGTGTCGTCCCATGTGGGGTTTGAACCCACAACACTCGGCGTAGTAGGAAGCGGCGTGGCGACCGCTTAAACCACTACGCCATCCGTGCAGTCTAAGATTAGAGTAACACAAACACCATAGAAGTAACAAATTGTATATAGGATTTACAAATAATGTAAAAATTATATTTAAACAATAATAGGTAGTATCTATTACATAGTACATAATTTATTGGTATTATAGTACCTAAACAATTCATAATAACAATACTGCTAGTTAGCAAATTAATTATCTTATAGTTTGGATTGTCTTCCATTTATTATGAAATGCTATTTTTTCTTTAAGGGACATGTGACTTCATACTATGGACCTTCAATGCAAAAATATACTTCATTTCAAGTGCATGAGTCTGAAGAAGTTCGAGATATTATAACACTAGAAAATGGGATTTATGCATTGACTAAGACTTCATTAAGGCATCAGATACGTAGGGGTATACCTAAGCATACTTACAAGTAAGTGGACGATACTCTGACAAATGGGTTTTATTTTGAATAAGTTTGTATACTAGGTAATCTGAAATCTATATATTCTGTCAAGCAACACTCTGTGATATATCAGAATTTAAATAGAGATAAATCCTTATATTGAGACCCTAGCAAGATTACACTTCAAACTACTTAGGTAGAAAAAAGAAAGCAAGGAATGGTTTTATAGAATACTTAAATTATCTCTCAGAAAATCTAAATTATGTCTCTGTCTAAAAACTATTTTTATTCTTAGAAAAAACAATATCAGGTTTGGTTTAAAAGGTACTTGACTTGAAAGATTTTTTAGAAATTTTTCATGAATAACATCTCAAGATTTGATTATATCTAAAACTATTTATAATTCATAGATATTATAGATTATAATTAATTTAATTTAAATTCAGGTCTGCAAATATGACTGACATGCAGTGTCTCTACCAAGCCAGTTCTACAAAGTTGATTCTGGGTGGACATCAGGATAAGCTTATTGATTTGGATCTCACTAAGATGACTGAAACCATTTTTGTAAGTTTACAAGAGTTATTAACACCTACATTCCTGTGTATGTTACCATTTAATCTCCCTTTAATGTAAAACATGTAACAACATAGACATGTACACACAACTGGCCTGTTGGTCTAGTGGTTAGGAATTCTGAATGCTAAGCCAGAGGTCATGGGCTCGATTCCCACCCAGGACTAATAATTATTTGATGCTACACAATCATTTGTTCTGTGTCTTGGTTTAATTTATCTAAAATATGAATCTGTTTAGATATATTTAAGTATGTTTGTCCGCAATCTGGTGACCATAGTACAGGCTCTGCCTAGTTTGGGACCAATTGGGTCAATGTGAGATGTGTGAAGTTATTATTATTATGTAATAGTAATATTATCACTACAAATAAAGCCAATAAGAAAGAAAGAAAGAAAAATTGAAGGTTAAAATTTATAGGGATCAAGGATGCAGTGAATACCAATTTGATTTGTCACTGCATACAACAACTATGTCTCTTTTGCTCTAAACAACAACTTGTATCTTCTTACACTTACTTATGCTTAATATTTACCTGAAATACCAAAAGAAATTATGTGCAAGATGTTTATAAATATTTACATCCTTCCAAGGCTAATGACTTTCACTATGTTTACAAGTGTTTTTCTTAAAAGTCTGTTTGCATTTTTTTTTAGCCAATTAAAGAGGAAGGATGCGCTGTTCTCCGAAGCGGCGGTGGGTCGTTAGTTGGTTGCGGCAGTGCTAACGGAATGGTGGCATTAAGAGATATCAGGACTCCTAGCGCTGCTGAACACACGTTCAGAGCTCATTCCGCTTGTCTGTCAGATCTGGATATGCAAGGAGACCTACTCATTACTTGTGGGTTTACTCAGACGTAAGTGTGGCATTATTATAAACAGCTTTAAATTGATTTTTTTAAATAGAAAATACCTTATTTAAAATTTCCAAAAGAAATCGAAAATCGGTCATTTACTGTGAGAACTTATACTATGTACTTCATGAGCAATGTGATTAATGCTCACTTGATAGGAAAATTCTATAATCGCGTTTGATCACTTGAGCTTCCATAACAATTACTCAACTGCTTATTCAAATAGGTTGTTTATCGAAGTCACTATTTTTAATAGAAACTCTAACACTTTACTGGCCTGTTGGTCTAGTAGTTAGTGACCCTTACAGCTAAGTCGATCGTTCGTGGGTTCGATTCTCACTCAGGCCAAATGATTATGTGATGAGGACGCTCATTTGTTCTCTGTCTGGGTGTAATTAATTGATATGTGTGTATTTAGAAATATATAGGTATCTTTATTAGCAGTCTGGTTACTACAGTATAGGCTCTGCCTAGTTTGGGATCAGTCGGTCGTGTGTAACATGTGTCACGTTAAACTTATTTTGAAAGTATGGAATAAACTCATTATTCCAGAGGTGGAATGCCTGTAGCTGAACCTTACGTGTTAGTCTGGGACGTTCGCTGTCTCCGCGCCAACCGGGCTCCGGGTGAAGGTTCCTGGTCCTTGTCCACCGCATCGCCGCCCCTACTGCTTCACTTCTTGCCTGCCTTTTCGGGAAGAGCAGTCGCGCTGTCGGGAGACGGCCACGTAGCGTTATTGCATGTCAACGCGCCTAATTCTGCAGAGCAGTCTGTATTTCAGGTTTGTATAAATACATTTATCACTCGCACTCATGTTTTATAAACAAAATAATTGTGCGACAGATAATCACAATTAGTTTCTAAATTATAATAATAAATCTAAACGTTCTGAACATCCATGAGTTGGACACCGATAAGTGTGCTATAAAAAAATATACATGTATTTGCCACCTAAGGTTTATTTACTAAAAAGTTTCGATTTCATATTTTATTCTGGAATTGGAGAAATTTAATTATTTTTGAATTCTGAAAATGCATAGTTAAATAATTAATTCTCTCTTTAGGCTGTGTATATAAAACTATACCGTAGGGCTGAAATAAAGAAATGTGTAGTAATTGACGATCGAATGGCGTAGTGGTTTGTGTAACGGACTGCTATTCCAAAGGTCGCGGGTTCGATTCCTGCGCAAGTCAAACATTTGTATGCATGAACATTTAATGTTTGATTTGGCCTTAGTGTTTCGATGTATAATATGTATGTATTTCCAAAGTAATATAGTATATACAAAAGTATATATGTATTTATATCATTTGTCTAGTACCCATAGTACAAGCTCTGCTTAGTTTGGGACTAGATGGCGTTGTGTGAATGGGGAAGAATATTAAATTATAATTTTGCGTAACATTACCTTTTAATATTGCAGGTAGACACTCACAGCTCTCTGTGTAGTGTGATGGACGTATCTGCCACCAGTCAAGCAATAGCATTCGGCGATCAAGCGGGACATTTACACCTGTTTTCCCCACAACACAACCACGAGCCTGTTTTCAATAACTTTTCAAGGTAACCTATTTATATTATCGATTCATAATGATGTTATGAAATAGATTATAAAAAAATATATTAAATGTAACATTAAAAACAGACAACATTAGATGCTTACTGTTGCGGAGGGTACCTAAATTTCATTAAACTCATTCGAGTTTTGGGGTATTCCCCTTACTTATCCTATCCGTTTTCGTCACCTTAGAAACTAAATAAAACTCTTTGCCATAAAGTTGTGGTGTGTTTTGTACAATGTGTGCATTGTACAACACACACCACAACTCATAAGCATAAGAATCAAAGAAAAACTAAGGCAGAGTAGTATGTGAAGTCTAACCATTACATTTTTTTCATCAGAGCAACAGAATTCGCTGACCAAGTGGTGGGTTTGCCATACGTGGCCTTCAGTGACACAAATTTCCAGTATTCATCTGTTCATTTGCCACCTTTGGCTAGTGGAAGCAAATGGTTCAACGAACTGCCTCCGGAATTCTTCAAGAACGTTTACAGGTGAATTCTATTTTGTGTTCTGTTTTCCAATGCTGTGGGTATTTCATTACACTTGTATTGACTGGTTTTGAATACTGCACACAGGAAGCCAAAACCAATAGATAGTGAAGTGTTAAAGACTATGAAAATGCAAGGCCCTATTGGATATGCACCAAATCCAAGAACATTTAAAAGGAATCAGGTATAGAACTAAATGTATTTTATTGTAAACTGAACTCAATGCATGTAGCATGTCAATGAAGCATGAGAAGAGAACATTTTTATAATTATATACTTATTCAATTCAAAGATAGTAATTAGGATGGCCATCACACCAACCCTTATTACTAGGTTTTATGCGGAAAAAATCACGGGCGCTACTGTGGAAGAAGATTAAAGTCATTAATAAATTATTCCTAAATATAAATATTATACCAAGTAACTCTTCCGGTATTATATTTAAAATTCTATCTAAACATAATAATGAAATGAGAATGTAATGAAATGAGATGAAATGTAATGTAATGAAATGAGATGATGAATTGGATGATATTAAGAAAACCTATAACCGGAAAATCAAAGTACAGAAATAAGTCTTATCGCCAAAAGCGATCTCTGCCAACCTTTGGACAGTTATAAATATTATTACTTTAAATAAATATACATAAATAAAAAAATATAAGAAAATTCACTACTTCGGTAATTTACGCTATATGTTAAACTGTATAATAGAGGAAATATTTGCAGATGCCGTATATAGAGGATACATTAGAGGACTTGACCACCGCCAAGCAAAATGATAACAAAAACAATTCACAGCCTATACCCCAGCATTATCAAAAGGTATAACAACAATTTGTTCATTAACCCTGTTACATACTGTTGCTGTATGTGACTATGAGACATAATAAAGTAATTATTCATTGAAATATGACCTTAGGTTTATTACTTGATTGCAAATGTTATAACAATTATGGAAATCTTATCTTCATGGTTCATTGTTGTCACAAAGGCCTATTCAATATCAGGAAAAACTTTCTTAAGGAAGGTTAGCGTTCGGGGCCGCTCTTAAAAGAAACCAGCTAAAACCTTTTCAGTGCACACATCACGCCAACCGCAAATATAATTGGGTAATGGTTAGTGTAGCAACTTCCAAATAAAATGAAACAAAAACAAATGTGGCACTTAAATCTAACAAAGACACACCAAACCACGGAGTAACTACAAATCTTTCATCGCGTAATGAGGGTTCTCACGCCGATTACTATACAGGGTGTAAGGGACGTCGTAACGAATATGGAAATAGTGTATTCAGACCATGATTCTGAGTCAAAAATCATTGTAATTTTCTGCCGGCAAATTCATCAACTTTTTTATAATTTGCCAATTTTTTGGTTAAAAATGATATTACAATGAGTAAACAGAACATTTTATCGAAAACAATTTAATAAATACCGCAAATGGTCAAAAACCAAAATTCAAACAGCCAAAGCGCGCGGGGCCTCCTTTCCGGCCGCCAACTTGTGTTAGTGTGCATACACATGTAGTTATTACTTTTGTGCGATTCCTACGGGGAATGACTTTAACCTTTGACAGCTAATTGCATAAAATGTTTATTTTTCCAGTAAAAAATTCCAATGTTTTCGACTCAGAATGATGGTCTGAATACACTATTTCAGTATTCGTTACGACGTCCCTTACACCCTTTATATACAACTTCCCCGTTTGTTGATCCGCGATCCATTGGGTATGATCACTTTTGTGTTGGAGGGATATAAAAAACGTTCTTCCGCAGGCAGGAAGACTATGATGATGGCGGAAATTTTCAAACACCATAAACCAGAATATAGTGTTATCTATACATATATGTATATCTAAGAGATACATATATATCTTAATATTTGTTACATTTTTTTGTATTAAGTGTAAATATTACTTTCAGATGGAATTACGTTACAATAAACATGGTCCGAACGACGACATAGAAAAGTGTAACAAAACAGGGCTTCCAGGATTAGAGGCGACTTTACCTAATTCCTATTGCAATTCTATGTTGCAGGTAATATGATTGCTTTCATAATATGTGTATATGTAGCTACACGTGTTCAAATCGCACATTAGAATATATTTTCATATTTTTTTCAGGTTTTATATTACACATTGCCAGTTAAGTCTACACTTTTGGCACATACATGCGCTAAAGAGTTCTGTCTGAGTTGTGAATTAGGTATGACATAATTTTTGTATTTGATTTATGTAACAGTTTTATGTGTAACATATGTAACAATTATGTGTTTCAGATTTGTTATAGTTGTGATAATTTTTAGTTTATCCTAAGACGATGCTTTGTGGTAAAAAATTTGGTGTTAAATGTATATTTAGTGAATATGAACTAAATACTAATTATGACACGCTTTTTCTCATATGATATTGGAGATTTTCTCGATCAATTTAGTTCAGTACCTTGGGCAAAGGGGCAAAAGGTGTCCAACTTCATGATTTTATGACGATCATTATCTGTAACAAACGAACAAACTTATTTATTATGAAGTCAGTTTTATCTGGGATTATTTCAAAATTATTAAGTTAGAAATTATAAATCATATTAACATGTAGTATATATGTCGTTTTAAATTATTTTCATCGTATATTATATATATCGTTTTAAATTGTATCGATATTGTATCCTCAACAAGCACCAATATTAATAGTTAAAAATAAGAATGTTAAATGAACACTTTTGTGTCTGACTGTGTGATTGCCTAGGTGGTACAGTGGTAGCGTATGCGACGGATTCGATTCCCGGTTCGGACCAAATGTTTGTATGATCTGGAAATATTTGTTTCGGAGTTTAGGTGTTTTCTATGTTTAAAATGTATGTATTTACGAAAAAATGTTTATAAGTATTCTATCAGTCAATCTAGCCTTCATAATACAAGCTCTTTTTAGTTTGAAACGAGATGTGTCAAATGTCCGAAAATATTATTATTATAGTCGTCGTTTTTAGACGCGTCGCATTGCTTCCTAGAGTCATAAAGTCGGACGCATCATGTGATATTCCAGGGTTCCTGTTCCGAATGTTGGACACGTCGGGCGGCGCGCCGTGCCAGGCCAACAAGTTCCTGCGCGCCTTCCGCACCGTGCCCGAGGCGGCCGCGCTCGGCCTCATCCTGCCCGACCGCGGGCCCGACGCCAGGCTTGACCTCGTCGCCTTGATACAGGTACTCCTTATATTGTATTGTGCCGCGGTTCAGCTCATCGCCAAACATTGAATCGACGCTCGTTTCGTGTCAAATTAACTATCCAAACGGATTTAGCGTTCTCGTAGTAGGTATCGAAACCGTTTGTATCCAAAACGCAAATGATATTAGTAAGATAATTTTGGTCTCTCTCGATATGATTCAGTCTAGACTCTAGTATCGTTGCTTTTTTCTTGTATTTTCATATATATCTAATAATAATTGTATAGTTACTCACGATTATTGGACTGCATGTATTACTGCATTTATATGAAGCAATATTTAAATCGATGTATACTTTAAGTGACAAATTCCCTGTAAACCAGCGCCAATGTCACTTTTCTGCTGAATGTAATAGCGAATAAGTCATTATGTACCTATTCTAAATAAATAAAATAAATATTTATTGGACTAAAAATAGTTGTTGTAATTGATTTTACTATAAAAATAATATGTATATATTTACAAAAATAATCTATATTTATCCGTGTTCCAGAACCCATTACAAGTTCTTTTTAGTTTGCGCCTCGATAACGATGTGTAATGTTCACCAAAAGATTATTATTTCTCTTTCTATACATGCAATACCTAACAACATTTGGCTTTGAGTATTAAATAAAGTTTAAGAAATATTTCGTCGCAAAACTTTCAATCAGTAAAATATTATTCCACACAACGAATATTTCTTTTTTATTGGTGATAAATGTGTCACACTGAGTATATTAATGATAATAGCTTGCAATAAATCAATCATTATTGAATTGTTAATATACCTTGTAATTAATTCTCTAATTCTGTGTTTTCTTAAATGGATGGAAATATGTATTATCCACCAACAATTAAAGGTCCAGTTATTCACAGAGTTGGAATCGTTTTATTCTGCACCAAATACATTATGAAATACTCGAAACGCGTAAGAAAGAGAAGGAGCTAGCTTTGTTGGCGAACAGTCCGCCGAAGCCGTCCCGAATAAATACGAAAATAAACCGGAGTTTACCGCACGTGAACGGCCAATACAATGAAGAATATCAGTATACGGAACTGGAGTTTCTTGGGCCTGCCACTGAGTTTGAACACGAAGAGTTAAGGGAAGATGGCTGGACAGGGAGGGAGGACGGTGAGCTATATGTTTTGTAGTTGTGCCTTTCAGAATTGGTTATTATGCATGACCAATTTTGAATTCCAAGATATATAATCAAGTGGTAATGATCATTATATAGGTGTGCTAAGAGTTAATCGTATAAAATTATGAATATACATAATGGAGGAAATATTAAGAATCTGTAAATTTATTGTAAATTAAATAATCAAAGTAGTATTAGGATATTACTACGACAACTAGTTTTAGTGACGTAGGCCATGTTTGTAGGACTTTCCGCCCGTCCGATTACATTTTCCGCTAATCCTCTTTGAAACTACCAGATCAAGATCGAAACAACAATAAAATATTTCTAGTATAAGCTTTGTGGAATGCGTTTTGTTTAGATCTTTTCTCACGTCTCAAAAAATGTTTATAGCTATCATTTTTGGAACAATGGATTTTGAAGGTGGGTATTTATATTACTTTTTTTAACGTACTTCAGAGGTATGGACAATGGTATGTAAAAATCATCATATGTGTATTACATAATTGCAAAAAGTTGGAATCTACTCCTTTTCAGACGGGATAAACGAAATAAATTGGGGTCAGGAGAACGCATTGGGAGAAGGAGATAAGCTTTAAGAGGTCGGGGTCATGTTTACAGATACATTACTCAGACCCGAGCATACAGATGTCCGTCCTATGATTGAAGAGGCCTCAAAACAGGGAAAGCCGATAAATATTATCTGAGGCTTCATTCAATATTAGAATCGATGCACCTCCTGTTCTAAGCCTTCCACTGCAATCATACATTACTTGCCTTTGAATTAATATTTTTAAACTATTATTTGAAATATTGTTCCCATCCTCCTAGTTTGTATTATTCGTAGATTAGCCGTTAGATATTCTTTCTTTATTTTAACCGTTTTAGGTTATATATTCTCAAATGAGAACCATATTGATATCAGTTCATTGTGACATTTAGATTTTTTATAAAATATATTAAGGAATGTTTGATATTCAGGAGCGGGTGACGCTGAGACAGTACAAGTTAATAATCACGAGCTGTCGAACAACCATAAAGCCGAGAGAGAGGAGTCAGATATTTCGCAACTCTTCGCTATAGGCAGACATCAACTAAATCGATGTCTAAAGTGTAATAAAGAGGTTAGTTTACAGCCATAAACTATGTAGAGTTTGTAATATTGCTGAGTCCAATAGATAACATTTAAATCTCTGAATAGAAAACTGAATAGAATACGTGTATCATGAATCCATAAAAATAAATAAATTTGCAGTTTGGTTTGCAAAGCAGCTTTTTACAAAAAGGTAAGTAGGTAGGTATGTGAAAAATATGGTTAAAACTTCTTTGTACATCTCAAATACGGCCGTCTGATCCCAAAATAGGCAGAGCCTATACTATGGTAACCAGAATGCTGATAAACATACTTAGGTACATATTTTTCATTATATACATTCATATCATAGATAATTTACACACAGACAAAATAAATGACCGTAATCATTACATAATGATTTGTCCTAAGTAGAAATTGAGCCTACGACCTCTGCTTAGCAGTCAGGATTACTAAGCCAACAAGCTAGTAATTAAATGGTCTTCGTAACCTGACCTTTTTATGAAGCAAGATTTTTATTTTTAAAATAGGAAGGCCGTGAGTCCGTGGTGCTAGCTTGTGCCCTGCAGTACCCAACAGCGGTCCGCGAAGGGCCCGAGTGTCGAGGAGGCTTCTTAGAACTAGTGCGAGCGTCGTTAGCGGCTAGACGCAGCACGCCTGCTTGGTGCGAAACTTGCTCAAGATTTACTCCAACTGTGCAACGGGGGAGAATCGTCAGGTTAATCTGTACTAATATTATAAAGCTTAGAAGTTTTTTTTAAACGCGGTAATCTCAGGAACTAATGGTTCGAATTGAAAAATATTTTAGTGTCGGGTAACCCAGTTATTGTGGAAGGCTATATAACATTACGCTACGACCAATAGAAGAAAATTTATTTCTTTTGAAAGACGCAGATGTTGCGCGTGTCACCTAGTTTTATATATAACTATTTCTTTTTTAATGGGAAAAAAAATTCTCCAATTTGGAGACTAGTCGGCTCATTTCCACACATTGCATTTTATAGATTGATGTTTTCCTTAAAGTGATTGATTAAGGAAGAAAGATAAAAACGATTATTTTGTCATACTGGGACATCTACGAAGGGCATGCAGACAATATGATATGACATTTAAATAAAAACAGAAAAATCGTATGTTCCTAAGTGATGTCGCATGGCATGATCAAAATATGAGCGTTTTTTTTTTTGTTAACGGTTTGGAAAATTCCTTCGGATCTCCGGCTCCTTGAGGACATAGGAGCCAAGAGTATGTTGTACTTCCCCTAAAAACCACCCCCTCGGGCCGTCACCCCAACAGTGTTTGCGGCGGGGTGGTGTGTCGGAGTCGGACCGACTAAAACCACACGGTATGCCACTCTGCGACTGTAATAGGAGGGATCCGGGAACTGTTGTTATTAAGACATCCTAGCGCTTGCCCGCAACGGCGCGGGCACCATGCTCTGGTATACTCTTCATTTAAGCCTCCTCGCGGCTGGCCGTTATGGCGGGTGGAGGGGAAAACCCGTCCTGTCCACCGAGTGGAGGTTGTCCTCCCGGGCTCCTGCGAGATGACGTCTTCGCAGAAGGATGCGACCGCTGTGAAAATGTTACTATCGGCCATGGAGCGTATGACGGCCAGTAGCGAGAGATCCCCTCCGATGACTACAGTGAGCCGCCTAGCCGCCTCAGGTACTTTGTGCGCCCCATGATAGTGGAGTGCTTCCCTGATGCAGCTGAATGGCAGACTATTGAATGCGTTGGCGATGTCCAACAACGCCGCCACGGGTCACCGCCTCTTCGGTCACGGTCCTGAGGCGCAACACAGAGTCAACCGTCGAACGCCCCCCTCGAAAACTGGGTCTCAGGCGCCCTGCTCTAGGGAAGACCCGGTCCATTTCAGTTTAGGTCCTCCCTCCGGATCATAGATCGGATCGGCATTGTGACGTCTCCTCGCGTCCAATCCGATTCAGGTACTCACCGAAGCAGCCATGCCCAGTGACCACCAGCGTCAGTCGGTAGGTGACGCAGCCTCCCTCCATACCTATCCATGCTTCGAGGTTACGCACCGACAGCGCGTTGGCGCGCATTCCGCGGCTGTTCCAATAGCGCGTTACTGCGCCAGTGCCTGTCAGTGAGCGTTCCACCGCATGTCGAGCTCGTACTGGTCTTCCCCGCTCTCACCCTGACAGACCGCGCAAGTCTGGTCATAGACCCTCGCGTTCACATCCGCCAGTATATCAAAAGGATCAAAATAACCGACCTAGTTCAGCATATGTGTCGGGCAATATTGCCTGACGCTGATTTAAATTACTCCTTTTAGTGACTCACGTATAAAAAGCAGTTAATTAATTTAACGTTCGGTGGATTTTATAGATTACCACCCATACTGGCGATTAATTGCGGTGGAGCGACTGTCCGGGAAAAGGCATACTGGGCAAAAGGCACCCAAAAAGACCTAGTAAGTATTTTGTAAATTTGCCTTGCTTTTTTTATAGAGTGGAATTCAAACGAGCTGACCGTTCACCTGATGGTAAGTGGCACCTGCTGCCCATAGGCATCTGCCTGAATTAGGAAGGGAGTGTTGGGTTGGTCATCCGTAAGGCAGTGGTAGTACTCCAGTCGAGCCAGCCCATATGTGTGTTTAGTTTACCTAAGTATTTGTAATGTTAACATCATCGATCATCAACAGCCTTTAATAGTCCACTGCTCTACATAGGCCTCTCTTTAGAAAATAATGTTTGGCCTACTATACAACGCTGGCCATACGGGTTGGTATAGGGTTTGTGTCAAGTTTTCCTTATCTTTGCATTGCTGTTGTTCTGCGTAGTTTGTTCCCTTAATGGGCTCTTACGACACCCACGGGATGAATAGGGGTGGTGACACTCCGTATTCATAATCCGTCACCAAACGGATAAATGTATTTGTAATGTTTTAGCCAGAAGCAAAGCGTGGGGGAGGCGGTAAGCCATGCCGGTACGGCTTGCATTGTGCTCGGCCCGGCTGTCATTTTAAACATCCGGACAGGTAAGACGTTAACTATATCTTTTCCTCTGAATTGAGGACTGACAGGGGGTATCAAAAATGTAGTAGGTACGTAAATGCTATTCTAATATTTGTAATATATATATATAACGTACGTGATCGTAGTACTCAAAAATCACAATTTTCAGTGGTAATTTTAGGTAAGACAAGAATACTTTTAATGTATTCGCATTTTTTATGCACAGATAGATAGGAAAAAATACCTAATTTTTTATGAGTTTCTATTTAACTTTTTTCTCACGGTGAGGTGCTTTACTTTTAGCCGCCATATTGATCCAACATTAAAAAAAATTGCAATTATTAAATAAGTAAGTTAAGTGTAGCTTAAAAAAAGCCCAAATGTAATTTTTTATGTTGCTCCAAGTTTTTTAACAGAGGGGCTAGCCGATTTGACCGAGAATATATATTATGTAAAATTTAATGTAAAATTTAGGCCTGATAAAGTTCATAATGCGTTAAGTAAAGTTACAAATATTGAACAGAAATGTCTTCATATTTAAAAGAATCTGCATGGATAGCGTAGTGATTTAAACGGTCGCAACGCTGTTTTCTATTATATATTATTATTATTATTATTATAAATTGTTGGTCCGAGTCTGAGCGTTCTTTGTGTCCGTATCATGTAATTATGTTTGTAAAGTCCCCCGCGACACAAGATATATTTCTAATGCCGGAGTAGTCTTTTATTAAAAAAATATATAATATTCGAATCTACAATTATTATTTCTGTTCCGTAACTGTAACTATCATGAAATCGAATAGGAAAGGCAGAATCATAGATATATTAAATATATGAAACCATAATATTATAACTAACAGTTTTTTTTGCTATTATAACTTTCAGGCCTAACTCTACCCAGGGGGGTTCGTCAAAGAGTCCGACGCACGAGTCGCATTGTATGCTTCCACAACAGTTACTTATCAGACTTCAGTCCGATGGTGATGTCATTATCAACGAGAAGGTACTGTTGAAGAATTTAATTCTATTTATATTATAGTGCAATAACGAAACGTAATCATATCATAAAGAACTATGAACTAACTGTCCGTGTGAAGACGGATTAAGAATACGGAGTGTCACCACCCCTATTCATTAGACTAAGGGAGAAAACTACGCAGAACAACAGCACTGCAGAGAGAAGGAAAACTTGACACAAGCCCTATACCAACCTGTCTGGCCAGCGTGGTATAGTAGGCCAAAGCCTCCTTTCTAAGGAGAGGCCTACGTCCGGCAGTTAGGGGCTGTTGATGATGATGATCTATATTCTATCAGAAGTTGCTTGTATTTATATTCAAACGCACAGCTTCAATATTCCGTACAAAGTACCGAGGTTTGCGCAATAATCGTGATAGACTTAAAATGCCAAAGAGACGGTAGTATACAATGCTGCAGCAAAGTTTTAACTTTTTTTGGGTAAACAATGCTCTAATGAACTATCAACTTTTAATACATAATAAATCGGTTCCACTTTGTTAAACGTCGAAACTGTAAGTTGTGTTTAAATTTGAACGAAATAATAAGTTATGGCTACAAACTTAGAAATTGGCAAATAATTTACTTTAACAATAAAATAAAGATTCTATAAAACAGTAACTAATATAATTTTTCAAGGATGTCATAGTTAATTTAATACTCTATTCTTCCAAAACAAATACAGCCTAGAGTAATAAGGCGTAATTAATACAAGGAACCCACATTATAGAAATAATAAGTCTAGTCTAAGAGTTTCTGGTTGAATTTTAATATTTCATTGTTACACAGAAATTGATACCGAAAATCATTAAAGGTAAGTACTTACTGCACTACTACACTAACATTTTATATTCCGTATCACTTAAATATAACTTTCGCATATGTAGTACAGTCTCTTTGTATAGTGCGAGTCGTCGTCCGAACCGCACACACCGAACAACAGAGCAGACAAACATAAGAACAAGAAGAACGTCACGACGCAGTGTGAGGAGGAGTACTCTCTGTCTGCGGCCGTCATCTGTGTGGAAGACAACCCCAAGAATTTAGTCGCCTATATACAGACCACGCCTTCAAAAGACATTGAACCTGTATGGTACTTATTCAATGATCTAAGGTATGAAAATATAAAAAAATAACTTTTTGTTTTGATATTTGTATCCAAAAAGGTTTAGTACTTATGAATTTAAAAATATTACTGTATGTGTATTTATTATTGATTTATATTAAACAAATCACTAGAAAGAAAATCACTAGTTTCAGGATAGTGACACATTTTTGGTTTGAGATGAATGTTTTCAACTATTTGAGAAACATAATCTGAAAACCTCTAAAACTGCCTGCTAACTAACAATTTAAAAAATATTTAAACTATGCACAAAGTTATCTCAGGTGTGTTGAATTCAGGTTTTTGTTTATTTAAGGACATTTGCTTGTGTAAATGTTTTTTTGCAAGAAAAAACACATTTATTATGTACTTTATATCTAGACGCGGAATAACTAAATAAGAATCATGCAATCACTACGTTCTTTTTCAGTATTGTACCTGTAAGTGTAGAGGAGGTAGTACAATTCAGTGCGTGGTGGAAGACTCCGTGCGTGCTGTTCTACACGTCCAGCAGTGCACGGATCTGTGCAGACGAAGAGACGAGATCATAGCCTAAGCTTTTGTATGGACCGTATAACGGGTTCGTATATGCACTGCAGTAAACACTACTTGTTGAGGCCTTGGCTCGGTAGTAAAAAAATAAGATTTTCAAGCTAACTTAAAATGACTTTTATATTTTCCAGGGTTATAGGTCCATACGATATGACTGAGATGTACTACCAGGTACCAACAGAAGCGCATTACAACTACATACAATAAACTAAATTCCATATGCTAAGCTCAATTGAACGCTTCGGCACAAAGTGAACAAACGTATATGAAAACTATGTGATAAATGTTATGTGCCGACTGTGGTCGAGTGAACAATACGAAACCAATGATTTTTATATTCATTCAGATTTTAAATACGAAAGAAACATATGTCTATAAAGTTTTAAAGCTCGGTAAGGTATTTTTATGTATTAATGTGCTGTGTAAATCTAATTGTCACATTTAAACTTAGAATTTTATAAAGCTACTTAATTATAAGATGTTCTTATTTTAATCACGTTAATGTTGCAGTAGAACTTCTGATAATTGAGTGGTGTTTGAGTTCAAGCTACAAAGCATTCCGTGCGGTGCTTTCCCAACAACAAACCTCAATATGACGGTCAGCAAACACATATGTTAAAAACCCGTAACGTTAGCTCACTACACGGTTTCTAGTCTGTCATCTCTGAAGATTATGCTCACTGCTTATCCTTTTTTTGCATCATTTTTGACCTTGGTATCAGATAAATCTATGTTTTAAAGAAGATGCGACCAAAGGATATCTTCCGCTGACGCTCAAATAATATAAAAAAACCGCTCAAGTCTTTGAAGTGTCTTCTATTTACCTGTTCTGTAAAAAGCGTTCCAGTTAAAGATTACAATACTGTAATGTGTTAACCGCATCAGTGGTTACAAGGTACTGATCGAAGTCAGTCAACTAGATTTACATGGCAACATGAGTTGTAGTGGCTAAACAATGCTAAAATATGTGCCTAACTGCGTAATTTGCGGTAATATTATGTGAACGCCTAATTATGTGCAAATATCTACCTCAAAACATGTTTCCTTCCTTAATATTCCTTACTGAGTTTTGAAACAATACGCCAAGAGTATGTATTTTTATACACAGTGTGAAGTTAAATGATATATCAAAGACAAAGACATGTTGACTCATATTGGTTCTAAGTAATTTATATAATGTGATGGAGTTGAAATGTTCAGAATATATTCCTGCCTGCTTACATTGGTCCGGTATTTAACTTGGTTACTTAATCAATCATTATATAGAACTTCTTGCAATCCATGATTAAGCTTAACCCTCACATTAAACCACAAGCATTAAACCTCACTATGAGGTTATTCTGACATGTGTGTTTAGCTCAAGTGTCTTCTAGTTTGTTTTGTTAATTATATACCTACGAGTAAACGAGCAGATGAGACATTTGCTTGCTGATGGTAAGTGACTACCAGCCCCCATGGACACCTACAACTCAAGAGCCCTCCCCCACAGAATAGAGAGGTTTTGATTTTGGTTATGTATGTATGTAGACAGCAGTGACAGTGGACACAGTTAGCAGTGGACTGCGATAGGCTGATGATGATGATGATGATGATGATGTATGTAAACTCGTACATGTCTGTCTTGCTTTTCCCATAAAAAGTTCAGCCTTACAATTTTGTGACCGTGAAGGTTGACGGCCTTCAAGTTATCAATGGAATAGAAAATCTAAGTGGCAGTATGAAGCTTGGAAAGATTCCGATAGAGAACAATAATCCGTCCCTTATTAAAATAACTAAATATTGCTAGCAAAGTCTTTGGCGATATACGAAGCATATGTTAGAATAAAAAATATATACCTCAGCTGTTATGCTTTTGGTCATTTTAGACACCATATATTTAATAGCTTGGATACAAAACTGGTGGCTCATTCGTGAATTGCAAGAAATTAGTACATAAAGCTTAGACTTCCAATTAAATTACCATTTTCTTTAAATATGTTACTTAATTATGTACAAGGTATTTCATGTTCGTTCACCAATGTAATTTTTACACATTATAAAGAAAGTTTAGATTTAAGGCATTATTTATTTTGGTTGTGATATTACGAGTAAATTAGGAAAAATACTAAATTATTTCTCTTCCAATCATCGAATAACAAGAACTATAAACAGATTTTAATGCATATTTCAAAATTTGGTGACTACTTTTGGAGTATTTGATAGAAATACATAAGATCTAGGCCATGTCTTTTGTTTCTTCGTCAATTAGTATAAAAGAATAACAACATTTTAAATAATAGTAAAATTATATTTTTGCACCATTGTTTACGATTGTTACAGTCTATTAGGTACTAGTCCTAAGTTTTACTAAGAACCGTCCCGTTAAATAAAACACTATATTTGACATAGACCTTGTTGTTGTAGTTGCGGTACAAAATGTTTGCCTTTGCTTTTGTTTTGGAAAATATTCTACTTTATATATACACACTGCCTTCTCTAAAGATCCTAATAAACAATCCTGTATTATTTGTTATTTATTATTCTTTCACGAGACGCATACATTGTCTAGCAGGGCTGCCATTAGTAGGTACTAACTAATTTTGTGTTTCCGTGTTCCAAAAACTAGAAATTCAAATAAATTATGTGAAATTAAACCAGTGTTACTTTCTGGTTACATTTTTAGTTTTATTAGATGTCCCTTTTGGTCATTTAGGTAAGTGTTATATAAGGGTATAACATTTTTCTTGTTGAAAAACCCCTTCGCTTTTGCAAGCGCACATTTTTAAATAACACAGTATGGTTTTATTTCAATTTCATTTATGAGTTTTTATATTGAACATTTTTAGTATAAATATTCATAGTTTATTCATGTCAGCATTTGTTCAGAAATATTTACTTTATCAGATCAATTTTCCAGGTTAAGTTGTTAGTTTTAAAATAGGATTTCTGTACTAACATCAGAATTTTCCAGTTCCGTGTATATAATTTAGAGACTATGCTGTATAATGCAGACTGACAGCCCTGGTGAGCCAGATTATATTCGATATTTTTATTTGATAAGCTTTTGAGACAGGCACGGTCTTAGTGATAAACATTTTGTGATCGAATGCTAAGTGATTATATATCCAACAAAGTTATTCCAGTTTCTTAATATTTTCTTCCTTATATGTATTATTATCTTGTGTTAAGTGCTGGTATGGAAAACGACTGATATACAAGTTAAAATTGATCGTTGAAACGGAGTAAACGATATGGAGTCATTATGAAATGTAGGATGGAATATTTATAACAGTAGCTTCGGCTATTAAGATTTTTAGACTTGTGTAAAAATATGCTATGAGCACATTGCGAATTTGGTAACATTCCTTGAGAATATTTTAGTTAATTTTAGGTGATGTCCATCTCAATGTGTTCAGAGCTAAAAATAAATATTTTCGATTATTGAAATTATTCCGCTTGTACATGGTGGCTGGTTTTAAAATAAACTGAATGTTTAATAATGACTTCTTTTTATTTTCAAATAACCCTTAATAATACGCTTAGACACAATACATTGACTTATTATTAGATTTTTTTTAAGTTAGCAGTACAAATTATTTGTATTTTTTTTGGGAAACAACTAAACAAATAAAATGTTTGCAACTGCATTGCTAACACATTTAGACCCTATATTAATATAAGTAATATTGTGTTATAGCCGAACTTGTTAACCGGCAAAAATACTTTTTAACCTAATGGTTAAACAGCACTTTTTAATCTAATGGATAACAAGTAGTTAAAAAAATCTATTATTCCTAGTAGTTAGAAAGTACTTTTGAATTTTGACTATTGTAGTCAGCACCAGTTTAAATTCACTATATTTGTTAATATGTGCTTATTGAAACCCCTTTAGGCGGTTTCATCACCGAGGTTCTCGAAAAGTCGGTGTATCGGAATCAAACCACCACTTCGTCTTATGGAAAACTATGCCTAAAGTAATAGTGAACAACTTAGAAAATATCTAACCCAACCTAATTACACTTAACTGGCTCCACTGGGCTAAAGTATTTTTGACTGACTTGTGTTATTTAAGTTTTTTTTTTATTAAATTCCTACATATAAACCTTATTTTGTGTTGGAACACCTAGGCCAAACAGTATCACCCATTACGTAAATCATTTCCTTCAGAATGCTGTACGTCGGCTTTACGATGTTCATCCAATACACATGTAGTTTCAAATCTATTAATAGCCATCTTTTTAATAGTTTCGTACACAGTGGGGTAATAAGCTATAGTATTGTCAAAGTCTGTCTTATCAAGTCTGAATAGTTCACAGTTGGTCACGGCTACGGCAGACGCTGTCCTATATCGGTTCATGACTAAAGCTATTTCGCCGAAGAAATCACCGTCCTCGAGGTGACAGATTTCTTGTCCAGCATCTGAGTATATTGCAACTGTTCCCTTGTCGATAAAGTAGAGGCAGTCACCTGAAAAGTTTATGAAATGTAAATTATAAAAGAACACTAAGATTTACGGCTTCTGGAAGGCTAATCAAAATCTTGTTCAACTTACCGAAGCTGTCAAATAAAGGTTGTCAAATTAGTTCAGAGTTTTTGAAATACACAAATTTGCAAAAATGCAAAATTTGTTTACAACATTCCAATATTATGCCATTTTGAGATAAAATTTTTGCTTAAAATTTTACAGCCCTGTTATCCAGTTAATCTAATGATCAAACCAAACTTTATGTTATTAACAACTAATATGTGCCTGACCAGGCTTTTGCATACGATTTTTTTTTATTGATCAGCCTTTCGGAAAACTGACATTAGTTGCAAGTTACTGCTCGCCGCTCCCCTCCCCCCTCCCGCCAATATTAGAATGAGCGGTTAGGATAAGCTTCGGTAACCTTACTTATTCAACGATAGAATTGCGCTTTGGACACTTACCAATAGTGTTAATCTTTATGATTACATCACCAGCAATGAATATGACAACTCTTAACTTGAAGACAATCTGCATTAGTAGAGACCTCGGGAGCAACTTCAAGAATTCTAGTTCTCTTACCAGCTGCCGACCGGTGTGCATTAGGATGTCATCACGCAACTGCCCAGACACACAGCCAAGCATAAGGGATTCCTTGGAAGTAAAAAGGAAATGTAACATGCACACGTAGTTACGTTACTAATTATACACTTAAATAAATGTTGGTCATGTACAAGAAAGGTCCATAATAAAAGTAGAGTGGTACAACTCAGAATAATGAATAAAATTGTTTAGTAGGACGTCTTTTTCTTGTCTTTCTATTTCTCAGCAGCTCAAGGAGACTGGGATCAGGTACGCATGTGTTTATACTAAATCTTTCAATTTATCAGAACAAGCTTTTTTACCTGATTAACATTAGGTGTAAAAAATCAAACACATTTAGTTTTATTCTCCTGTAATTGGAGATGCAAATTGGAGAGTCCACAGGGACGCCGGCTGGCCTACGTCTCCCTTACCATTCATTATCCATGTGTAGGTACTTACAGTAAAATATTTAGACTGAAAGCGTAAAGCGTAGAATTTGAGAATTTTCTTTTTCAGTCTGGCTCCAAACTTCCTCTGCACCATATAATGTTCAATTTGCTTCTGCATAATGTAGTATTTTGCTCTAGCCGACTCAGCGCCAAACAATGCTATTATGTATTTCATAGAAAAATGAAATTGCAGTATCTGTAAGACATAATTATTAACGTATTAACATAATCAGTAAATTATATGATTTAGTATAGAATAACAGAAAGGGATGATAGTATATTGCATGTGATGTGCATTAAATTTGTTTATAAATTGCAAATGGGTAAAACTTGGATTGTAAATTGTTATAGGTATATGGCCTGAAAAGATATATTTGGTGCCATATTATGTTGTACTCGTAAATATATAGAATAAATAAAGTAGTTACCTTAGAAATTAGCCAAGCTACTATATAATATGCGTCAAAACAATTTGATTGCTTAATTACATTCAAATTTGTATTAGCCGTTAACATCCCAACTGAAACAAGAATCAGTATCAATGACAAAAATTCTTCCAACACCTTTTATTCCTTAAAAAACGTAGGCATTCCGCAACGTGTCATTAAATGCACAACAACATGCAAAAGAATGCGATTTCCAAGCCTACTTAGTACATTAAAGAGGAAAGCCAACTTCTAACACAAATATAATATAGTATAATATAGTCTTTCTTTCATTATCTAACATTAACAGGTAATTTTTGTCTTTAAACGAACAATTAAAAAATAGAAATTCAAGTTATCACAAATAGAATAGTGAACTTACCAGCTCGATCTAGCGCATAAATAATCCTGATAGGCATAGTATCATTCCATAACTTCCCATATGTTAACCAAGAACAATTCCTGGGATTGGTAGGGTGAAACCCTCCTTCGTTCACGTACTCCATACAGAATTGAAAATAGATGTTCCATGATAAGTAAGTAACAATACAGAACCATATTTCAACTGCTGTTTTCTGGTATATCTAATAAGGGTATTAAATACGTCTTTGTAAAATAAAATAAATTTGCATGTTTGTTTAACTAGTTAATTATTGGCGTAGTGTAAGGATTGTGATGTGATGTGAGGGGTGTCTGGCAGATGTGATACATCATTTTTTTTTTAAATAATGAGTAAAAGGATAACTTAGTGGGGAACTGGGGAGAGAGTCGCAGACTTCATGACGTGTTACATATACTATCGCATAGTGTGGCGACACATGTCGTGGCGGCGCGTCGTCACGGCAAGTCTATACTTGGCTGGTGATATTTAAAAATCCTTTATAGTGATAACATACGCAACTTGTGTCATAAATTTTGGCATAAATATTTTTCTTCTATTTCAAGTAAAATCTACGGAAGAAAAATAAAAAAGGACATATACCTACATATTTGTGTCTGAGTTTCCTTTGGTCATACATATATAGGTGCACATATATAGATATAGTACCTAGTCGTTTTAAACTGGAGCACAGATCTCTCCGCAAAGTATAGAAATACAAATGTATGTGTAAAATGTAACTTACAGAAGCTCTTAAAACCACCAAAATGTTCTTCAGGTAAATCATTATTCGTGGTAATCTCAATATGTTTACTGACTCTAAGAGAAAGGCCACAAGATTATAAGGATGATTATACACGTATGGAATAAATGAAATAGAACTGAGTACGTCTATGAGTAGCCAAGTTTTAATATAATGGAAGGCGATCTTGTCCAAGTCATAAACGGCTGCTTTGCATGTGTGCCCCTCTATGTAACCCGTGAAAAAGTTGGCTATGATATTGATCACGAATATAAAATCGCAGACATATATCATTTCGACGTGGATATCCTAGAACATAAAGAAAAGAAATGATATCATTATCAACAGCTTTCAGTAGTCCACTGTTGGACGCAGACCTCTCCTTAGAAAGGAGATTTCGGCCTACTATACCATGCTGGCCAGACGGGTTGGTATAGGATGTGTTTCAAGTTTTTCTTCTCTTTGCAGTGCTTTTGCCATGCGTAGTTTGTTCCTTTAGTCGGCTCTTACGATACCTACGGGATGAATAGGGGTGGTGACACTCCCACCCTAGGGACGAACGAATAAAAGAACAGATTTTATTTGGTCGTAAAATTACGAAAATGAGAATACGAGAACCATTGAATTTTGGATTCCAATAACCCATTTATTTATATTCTTTGGCAGATGATTTATAAATTACGTTGAAGTGCGCATTCTTAAGTAATAGACCTTATGTTATAACATTTCATCCGCATCTCTCCTATGTTAGACGCAGTACGGCACACCGTGTGGTTTTATTCTTTGATTCGGACACCGTGGTGTCCGCGCCCTGTCGGAAACCCCGAGAGTGTTAATATTATAGTGGAGAAGAACAATAATATTCACCCTTAAAACACTTCACCATGCTGGTGATGTGTGATGAGGGATAACTGACCATCTATAAATAAAACTAATTAATCTAATTCGTTTCATTATCTCTACAACACTAACCAGGGAGCCGTAATCAACTTCGCTATAGTATACTGCGAGGTACAATCCTAGAATAAGCATGAGAATAACATTAGTCACTTCGAAGAACAATCGCAGTCGGCTGAACGGATGTATAATGAATGGATGTTTTGTATAATGGCGATACTTTTCCGCAGAAAGAGCTGCATACGACCTGGGTACGCATAAAAATAATAATTAATTAGCATTTTTCATTCATCTCTTCCTTACCATCATACTTTCTTTATCAATTATTCATGTACCTACGCTTTCATTTAAGGTTCCCTACCATTTTGACCGTATCATTAGTCCATCTAATTCTACGATTCGATTTTGCATTGATAAACATCAATGGCGTATAGCTTACTAATTTTAAACCTTAGTCAGATTTGATTGTCTGTAAGGCAACCAAACTCATTGTAAGGTGTAATAAACCCGACCTAGATCCTGGTCCTAAGCTAGAAGTATTATAGGTATTTCAGAAGTGGGGTTATAAGAAAAATCTTATTTTTCATTTTCGCATTTTCTGTCTACTACTTTTCTAAATAATTCGAAGCATACTTACCTGTACAAGTTTAAAGCTCTAACATCATTAGATCTTACAGAAATTAAGTAAAATATAAATTTTCTGAAGAAATTCATTTTTAAGTTATATTTAGATATTTGTTCAGCGTCCAAGTGACATTCGTGTCCACGAAAGTATTCATAAGGGGTTGTATCATTTAGTTTACGGCGCTCTTTCAGCTTTTGATCTTTGTCTTCATCGAAGTCTTCATCCGCAGCTTTAATTACATACATAGACATGATGTTATAGAATTAAGAAAAATATTTTTTTCTAGGAATATATTTTAGAGGCACAATTTAGTATAAAATGACAAGATGTCTGTCGTGAGTTAGTACCTGATCTTTTTTTTTTTATAAAAAGTAGGTCAGTGTGTCTTGGTAGGAAGTCATAGACATTTTAGATCTCAAAAAATTGCAATAAAACTTACACCATAGATTTCCCTATTCATTTAAAGCGACTTGCCCTGACAAACTGACTGACTCATTAACGCAGAGCCTAAACCGCTGGGGCTAAAAACCTGACACTTTCGCAGCTGATGCTTTTTATGTTATAAGTATCCACTAAGTTGTTTTTTTGAAAATTTCACCCCTTAGGGATGAACGTTTGTATGGAAATTCGTCATTTTTTAAGTTAGATATAAGAAATAATCACGTGGAGCAGGTCCGGATTAGCCATGTCGAGACCCTTAGGCAATGCAATCCCTTTTTTGAAGATTCAGCTCTATGTAAGTCGATGAAAAGTTGTGAGGTGTTTGTAAGTATCCACTAAGTTTTTTTTTTGAAAATTTCACCCCTAAGGGGTGAACGTTTGTATGGAAATTAGTAATTTTTTAAGTTAGATATAAGAAATAATCACGCGGAGCAGGGCCGGATTAGCCATGTCGAGACCCTTAGGCAATGCAATCCCTTTTTTTAAGAATTCAGCTCTTTGCAAGTCGATAAAGGGTTGTGAGTAACTCCTCAGGAAATAATAGCAAAAAAGGCGCCCCTAACTGATGCGGGGCCTCTAGGCTGTTGCTTACTCTACCTAATGGTTAAACCGGCCCTGACGTGGACGGTAATAGCTAGTAATATAATATAATAAACATTAAACATAATAGTATACCTAGGTTAGGTACTTCATGCCTTTGTTCACGGTGTCATCCGATGGACGCGCGCCGCGTGTTGCTTCAAATCGAAACCTATCATTTCCTATTACTAGAAACATACTGTCGGGTATTCATAACTTGTTTTTAACCATTAAGACATTTGTTATAGCTTCTTTGCAGTGCAGTGTAGTTAAATAAAACTGCGAATTTACTTCAGCTAATTAAAAAATATTTAATAAAATATATTACTTGGCTGGATAAGCTAATAATTTAAAAAATCACAACAAAGTCCATGATATTGTGTTTTTAGTCCTCTTCCATATGTCAGCACAAGTCTTTGAACAAAATGTGGCACTGAGCAGAATGTCTTCAATTTTATCGATAAGCACGATTTCCCTGATAAAAGAAAAATATAGGTTTTAAGACTTTCCTCTATGATTTTTTTTTTAGCAATAGTAAAATCAGAATGAGTTTTATTTACAGGCAAACTGTGTTTTTATAACTTTATGGTTCTGAAAATAAACCTCTGGGCCAGAATGAAACAGTATTTGTTTCATTAAACTTACCCAAAACAAAATTCAAAATACGCGTAGTCAAAAACTGGTACTTTGCACTGCACGTTTTCGCATCTTGAAATAGGGCCGTTGCTGAGATCAGACATTATAAAATTAGGTAGAAAACTAAAATGATCTTTTATAATATCTGCTGGCACGTAATAACCTTTCGAAGGTTTCGAAGGTTTGCTAAATTGTTCTTCCTTTGTTGGCTTGTGATTGGTGCCGCTTTTCTCACAATTGTTATTATCTTTATCAGTGCTTATGATGGTAAAGTTTTGGAAATTATCTTGTAAAACTATTATGTTATTATTGTGTTCATTATAAAGATTTTCTCTCACATGTTCTGAGTAAAAACTGTACGTTTGTGGGTTCAGCTTTTTCACAGCCTTCGTTATCATTTGATAGAACTGTCTTTTGCTCATCTCATACAGACTTGGCGGTGAGTTAGTTGATGGTTCTGATATTATATTGTATTGAGCCGGATGGTCTACTAAAACCGTCCAATTTACGGAATCGCGACATATTTTTAATTTACATGTGCTGTTGATTCTCTTGCTCGGTTGATTCGAAGCAGTGCCTAAACATCTGTAATAAAATGCGATTATGGTAAAACTAAATCATTGACATCATCTGTACCAATATGGTACTATATAAATGCAGTATAATATCGTAAATATAAAATTTAATTTCAACTTGAGAGGTCGCATTACAAGGTGCCAACTGAGATCATAAACCAAACATCCAACGCTATAATGTTTAAATACAATAACGTTACTTAAAGCGTAAGTAAACCATCTTAAATGTGAACGTTGCCAATAGAATTGAAGGCTTTTTATTTATCGCACAACAAATAAATAAGGTTACATGTATATTGAAGATTTTCTTTTATTAATTGTATTTTGCCATTAAAGCGCATTTACAAGCATTACCTTTTTTTTTTTTTTTTTTTTTTTTTTTTCCGTGCCGAAATCCCCTCGGATACCACCTGTCGGTGGCATGTCGGACTCGAACCGACTAAAACCGCACGCCTTCGCCGGGTACTAATAGCCGGGGAACCAGGTATACCCTAGAAAGGAAGGCCCTGGTGCCCCGACATACCTCGGGTCATCTACAGACGAGTAGACGACCCCCGCCCCGTGTGGGAACCCCATGTTCCCTGTGCTCCCTGGAAGCGAGCGCGCTTCGCAACGCGCTCGCCGCCACCCCGGCCTGCTTCTGCTAGGGTGACAGATGGCCTCACCTGTCACCCCCAGGCCTGCGCTTATGGAGGACGGAGGTCGTTCTGCGACCTCCGGCGCCTGAGTCGCCTGCGCTGCCTGGCCCGTGCCCGGGCCGGCACGATAGCCGCAATCAGGCTATCGAGCGAGAGAACTCCCACTCCGATGGCCGCCACGAGGTCTCGCCTCTGCTCAACCCACGCCGGGCACTCTGCCAGCGTGTGGAGAGCCGTGTCCACGGTCTGGCCATCGCAGTGGTGGCACTCAGGCGTTGGCTCCTTGCGGATCAGACACAGGTGATCTCCGAAACATCCCTTCCCAGTGATCACCTGCGTCAATCGGTATGAGAGGGTCCCGTGACGCCTCTCGAGCCAATCCTCCATAACGGGTCTTACCGCCGCAATGACGGCGTGCCCAGCGCTCGGTTGCCCGAGTCGTTCCCTCCACTCCCCTATGATGACCTGGCGGAGTTGGGATTTCCGGTCATCGATTTCTCGAATCTCGGGGCATCGACCCAACTCCTGCGCCTCCTTGCGCCACTGATACAGTGCCGCAAGGGCTCTCGCCTCCAGGTCCCACGGTGGAGTTCCGGCCAGGAGACTCGCTGCCTCAAAGGAGATCGTGCGGTACCCCCTTATGATCCTGATGGCCAGCATTCGCTGCGGTCGTCGCAGTATCGCGACGTTGCTGGCCTTCAGGGCCCCCGCCCATACCGGGCACCCGTAAAGGGCCATGGACCGCACAACCCCCGAGTAGAGTCTCCTGCAGGAGTCATCTTGTCCCTTCATGTTGGGCAGCAGCCGCGCCAACGCACGCGCTGCCCCAACCAACTTAGGGACCAGACCTCGGAAATGATATCCGAAGTCCCATCGGCCATCGAGTACGAGCCCCAGATACCTGATCGAGGGCTCGATGCCGATGCGAGTGCCTCCTACCGTGAGGCGGAGGATCCCTCAGGCGGCTTCCTCCGAAGCCCGTGGAAGAACAGGGCCTCGGACTTGTGCAGAGCCACCTCGAGACCCAGCCGCCGGATACGCTCAACGACTTGGGCAACCCCGGCCGTGGCCCTCAGGGTTGCCTCGTGGTGCGTCTTGCCGCGCGCCGTCACGAGTGTGTCGTCCGCGTAGCACACGACGGCGACACCATCCAAGAAGGCACCACGAAGCACCCAGTCGTAGCGATGCGATGCCAGGCGATGTTCCACAAGAGTGGCCCTAACACCGACCCCTGCGGAACACCGCACGACATTTCACGCCTACCGAGACCGGTCCTACTGGGGTAGACGACGGCTCTCTCCGACAAATATGCCCCGACTATGCGGCGGAGGTAGAGAGGCACTTCGTGATACACGAGCGCCTCCCTGATGCAGCTCCAGGGCATAGTGTTGAACGCGTTGGCGATGTCCAAGGACACCGCCAACACCACTTCGCCCCGGGAGACTGCTTCCTCCGCCAGAGCCTTCACGCGCATGATCGCATCCACGGTGGAGCGCCCCTGACGGAAACCGTACTGGTTGTCCGCCAGATCCGGCCCAACCATCACGAGATGCTTGACGAGGCGCCTTGCAATCACTCTTTCAAAGAGCTTGCACACCTCGTCAAGTAACACTATGGGCCGGTAGGCGGACGGTGAGTCCGCCGGGCGCCCCTCCTTTCGGATGAGGACCAGTTTCCCCGTTCTCCACAATTTCGGAAACGGGCCCCGCTCGAGGCATGCGCTGAAGAACCCTCGCAGTCGGGGCTCGAGAGCCTCGTCGACTAAGGCCAGGACCCACGTTTGGCCAGGAATGCCATCGGGTCCCGGGGCGGTGTTTTTGGCTTTAAACCGTAACCTCAGGCACGTCGTCGTCATCCACGTTAGGCGCCTCAAGCGCCGGAGGCGGAGCCATCTGTGGCGGAGTATGCTCCACCACTCGCGTTGGGAACAGGGAGCCAACGACCCTCTCAAGCAGCTCTGGCTGAAGACACCGTGTGAGCGGCGGGGCCCATGGGCGCATCTTGCCCCTAACCATACGGTAGGGGCGTCCCCATGGATCCCGCTCCAGTGTCTCCAGCATCTCGCGGCGGGCCTCGCTCTTGGCCCGCTTTATCGCTGCCTGAAGGGTCCTCTTGGCAACCCTGTAACCCGCTAACAGCTCCGCCTCTCTCGCTGCCGCATCTTCGGGGCGGCGACGCCTCCTGCGGAACCTGGACCACTGGCGGCGCGCGGTCACGCAGGCTTGACGCAGCCGTGCGATCTCCGGCGACCACCAGTAGACCTGGCGCCTTGCAGTATTGGGCTGAGCCCTATTCATCGCCGCATCGCAGACGCGGGTCATGGCCTCCCGGAACCACTGTGCTTCAGCATCGACGTCGACAGGCCTGTCCGGCGCAGGAGCCCAGGCCTGTACGATGGCGGCTTCCAGGAGGAGGTCGCGATCTAAGCGCTTGAGCGCCCAACGTGGTTCAGGTGGTGCCGGTCTGACCGGCGCGCCATCTGCAGGGGCGGAGACGTCAAACCGAATATATCGGTGATCCGAACCTGTCTCCTCCCCGACAACGACGCGCCAGCCTTGGACACGACGCGCTAGCGAGGGGCATGCGAACGAGATGTCCACGATCGAACTACCCCTCGCCGTCACGAACGTGGCCACGGCCCCCCGGTTTAGGAGAACTAGGCCGAATCTTTCAGCCCAGTTCTCCAATGCCCTGCCCCTCGGGTTCGTGCGCAGGGAACCCCAAGCCTGCGACCAGGCGTTGAAGTCCCCCAGCACAAGAACCGGGTGGGGGCGACAGGCATCGACGACGACGGCCAGCTGAGCGAGCCATTGCTCGAACTCAGTTAGGTTTCGGTTCGGCGTGAAATAAGCGGCCACGACCGCTATATCTCCAACTATCGCCGCTACACAGCCCCGTCCCCTTGCAACTACTGCAAGAGGTGGAGTGCCGGCTGCGGTACCGTGCACCAGGGCCGCCGTGCCGTCCAAGTCGGTCTCCCAGGCAGGCCCGAGAAACCGATGGACATATGGCTCGGCGATAGCGGCGATGTTGATGGACCACTGTGCCATGCTCTGGAGCAGAAGATCCTGAGCATCGGCACCGTGGCCTACGTTCACCTGGAGGATGCGGAGATGTGGATCCATCACTGGACTTCCATCCCCGCATCCCGCAGCGAACTTTGCGGCTGTCCAGCGGCACTCCCCGTCTGGATCAGCGGCGCGGAGGCGGAAGGTCGGCCTCCCGGCTTCGGTCGTGATAGGGCACAGGCCTTACCACCAACCCGGTGGTCGGCAGGCTTGCCCTCCGCTGCGCACCTAAAGCAACGCAGCGGAGCGTTGCAGCCACCCGCCTTGTGACCGGGCTGGCCGGACGGAAGCATCGGTCACCTACGGTGGCCTCCGCCGTGCAGTGCACCCCTACGTGCCCCACCGACAGGCACCTGAAGCACCTTGCCGGCCGGGCCTGCAGGAGTCGTGCCTGCGCCCTCAGGAAACCTCCGACCAGGAGGCTCCGTCCATCGGCGACCTTCTGGGCCGCTGCGATGGGCAGCTGACAACCGCTGCCCCCTGTCCACCGGGGCCGAAGCGTATTCAGAGGGCTGTCCAGAGGGCAGCTTCCCGTCTCCGCCACGGCGAGTCTGAGCTCGTCCGCCGTGACAGAGTCGTCCAGGCCTGTAATGCGAACTTCTGCGCATTTAGTGGGCCTGGACATTACAAGCATTACCTAACAGTAATTATAAATCTATACTAATATATTTTAAAATCAAAATATGAACCGATCTAGTGTCCCTCTATTAAAAGTAAGGAAAATATCTTTGAAGTGTAAAACTTCGGTGTAATGCTTCAGTGTAAGGCATATGACCAGAAACAGTTCCGTCTTTTAATATAGTCCGGTCATTTTAGACAATTGAAATAAAGAAAATTCCGACAGAGCCAAATCTTCGTAGAGACCTTAGGTTTACCACAAGGAATAAAGTGTCAAAAGTCCCCATCAGTCCCATGTGAGCTTAGGGACTTATTCGGGGCCCAAGGTCAAAATTTTAGGTTTTTTGGATTTTTCTCGAAAACGGTAAGTTTTATCGAAAAAGTACCTTAGAGCAAAGTTGTAGATCTTAAAATTCTCTATAAAAAAAATTAAAATTATAATATATAATTAAAAATTATAGGGACCATCCCTAAATTTTTTCTCTAAGACCCACTATTTCCCAGATATTGCGCTTGTAAGAATCATGTTCTACATAGTATGCACACATATGCCACGTATATACATATTTAGGTATTCAAGCAAGCAAAAATGCCTACTCGTGTCTCTTTTATGTATACATTATACTATTCTAAGAAAATTTACTCTAAAATGACCGCCGGTCCCTTACCGAATCCCCTCTACTTGAGTAACATCTGGCCTTGAAAAACATCTGCCTATTCTTTTGTCCATGTGGTGTCGTTCACGTATACCTGCTTCTTTTAGTGTTGAACGAGCAGTTCCAACTTTAATAATACGGAATACCAACTTTAATCAATGCAAGTGTCGCGAGAAGTGATAAGTTTGAGTGATGAGTGATGAGCTTTTGTTTTAAAAACCACTGCTTATTTTGTGGCGATGAAGCGAATGAAGAAGCAGAAAAGAAGAAAGTGAAGATTTATCGCGGAAAAATTCATAAAGTTTCTACACTTACATTAAAGATTCCATTTTAAAATTAGCTAAAGATCGTTCTGATGATGTGTCAAAAGCTGTCTTTGCGCGTATTAATTTTCAGTATGATTTAGTTGCTGCTGACGCTAAATACCATGACAGTTGTTACAAATCCTTCCTGAGACCTAATACTGGCGGTAAAATTGGCCGTCCTCAAAGTGAGGCTATAAACTCTGCAATGGAGGAAATTTTCAATTTCATTGAAAGTAGCGATGACTGCCAGTTTTCGTTAGATGAACTGAAGAATGTTTGCCAAAATGTAGCTTTAGAAAACGGGATTATAAAAATACGATTGAAATTAAAGTATGGTAGTAGAATTATTATTACAGAGAAGCCTTAACATTTATTTGTTTTGTAGACAATTACTAAGACATTTTAAGTCAAGCCTGGTCTGATAACAAAAACTTGAATGAAAAGGAAATCGGTGGAAAACTTTAAAAGCTGCGGCAGAAATTATTCGAGAAGATATTCAATCTTGTATATTTGATAATACTATGTACCCGCCACCGGGTAGAATGTTTGAAGATATAAATAACTATATTCCCGAATCATTATCTTTTTTTTGGGACAAATCATTCTTAAAAATAAGCGTCATGATTTGGATCATTTAAATTTAGTTTGCACAAATATTAGTCATAGCATAATGACTGCTGTTCGTCCTAGATCCTTCAAGTTTAAATTACAGCTGGGTCTTTCAGTTTTTTTCCATCGGCGGTTTGGTTCAAAACGGCTTATACAAATTTTCTCATCGTTTGGCTTATGCGCATCTTACAGTGAAACAATGAAGTATGAAGTAGCAGCAGTTTTCAGTCGCCCACCTCACATTTTATCCCCAGAAACTGGCACATTTGTTCAATATGTTGCAGATAATGCTGATATTAATGTATAGAATATATATGTATGGAATAGGCCTACCGGGGATACCACGTTAAAAAAAACGCGCCGAGTACACTACCTTACAGGTGGTTTGGAAATGTGTGCATATTATGTAGAACGTGATTCTTACAAACGCAATATCTGGGAAATAGTGGGTCTTAGAGAAAAAATCATAGGGACCATTTTTATAGAGAATTGTAAGATCTACAACTTTGCTCTGAGGTACTTTTTCGATAAAACTTAAAATCCTAAAATAACCTAAAAAAACCTAAAATTTTGACCTTGGGCCCCGAATAAGTCCCTAAGCTCACATGGGACTGATGGGTACTTTTGACACTTTATTCCTTGTGGTAAACCTAAGGTCTCTACAAAGATTTGGCTCTGTCGGAATTTTTTTTATTTAATCACTATTTTTATGTCTAAAATGACCGGACTAATAACACTTTCCACAATTCATGACTAAGTTACCGCAACTGAATTTAAAGTACATATTAATCAAAGAGATACGAGTGTTGCGTGTGCCAATGTGGATTTATTGGAAATAGTTGGCGAATACAAGTACTATCAAAACTTACCCAATATTCAGACATCTAGTTTGCTGATCTCTAAACATGTGATACCACAGCGAGTACGGCAGAGTCTTCAAACAAGTGTTCCTCCAGAATCTAAACTCACAGTGATGGTAGTTGTATACAGGTCTTTGAGGAAGCCATCGTAACTTGTTATCTGAAAGTTATATAAGTATATGTTAGGTTATAGTTTAAAGGATTCAGGGACCTAATGTTTAAATTTAGTTAGCCTAGCAACTCTTTATGAGATTGTGTTAAACAGAAGTAAAAAAAAATGTCTATGGATGTTGTTTATTTACATCAGGACATACAGCTAATTACAGCTACAGCTGGTAATTATGACGAGTTCAACATATAGGAAGACATCTAATCGAACTCTTCACTTAAGAGTTCACCCTTTGAGTCTCCCCTGCCCCGGATTTAAGGGAAGAGGGAGAGGGGTAGCCTCATTCACCCGTCTGCTCGTTTGCAGTCCTATTCCATAAAAAATCTTTGGTATTCTTTACTTTTTAATGTATGTTGTTTAAGTATTCGGTGTTCCCTTTTTCGACGAGCAGACGGAAGCGGTATGTTGTTTTATTCTTGATCTCGACAGAAAGTTCTACTTCTTGTGTTTATGTTTACATAACGTTAATATGCTTTAAACGAAATATACTTAGAATCTTCGCCCAGATGCATATTTAAGTGCTAAACTATTTAAGGATCGAAATATCGCAAGAACCGTGAAGAACCTATTTTCCATTAGTATTGTGTTTTTTATTTAATAAATGAAAGCAATAAATAATCTATTTTTATTGGCGAGTAGGAAGTAATAGTAAAAAATATAACCGTTTATTTCAATATTAAATCCATCTTTAGATAATTATCTGAAATGTTTTTTTTTTCCAAACCGACTGTTGGTTAGATAGTTAATTACACTAGACCATACACCCTCGTTTTTATCGCGGATAGACTGCGGAGTATTAAAAACCCAAATGTATTCAACTTTAGTTTTGGTTCCATTTACTTATGTATTTTAAAGGTATTAGCAAGACTTGCCGTCAACGGAACACAGATATTTCCAAATCAACATACTTATATATTTCAAAATACAAACATATAATTTAAAAGAACAACACCCAGACACAGAAAGATTAATTTTGCTCACCATATAATATTTTTACTAGGTGGGAATCGAACCAGTGACCTCGGGTTAGCACTCAGGATTGCTAACCATGAGACACACAGAACCCATCTCTTTAAAAAAGTTAATAAATAACTAACAACAGCGTAATTGAACAAAGTCTTCAAGTTGGTTAACAAAACAACTGCAGACATCCCATTTTAAAATTAACTCTAAAGCACTTTTTAATTCAAACATTGTATGGCGGTCCTTTTAGGCCACTCTAACATACACAACCGAAATGGGTCAACAGAATCAATGAGGAAACATTAAAGTTGATTTATCGAGAATAGTTTGTTATCTAAGGCGCCAAAACTACTGTCTTTAACTTTACGACGGCTAGTAAAACTGGAACTGGCACATATTAGCGAAGTAACTGGTGCACCGTTTACATAAGAGTACATTTTCATTTTCATTTGTGTACAAAAAAAAAAGGATTTTATTTTACATTTATGAAATGAAATAAAATGAAATAATGAAATGATATTTCTTTGTGCAATGTATGCAATGCAAATGTATGTGAAAGTATTCAGTCTAGTATTCTAAACTCCTCTGGTAAGTAAGTAGATTTTTGAAAGATTAAAATAGGTAACTACATCAGCGGTTACATCACAGACCGCTGCGTGTTTGATTGTCACTCAGATGTATAATTGTGTGATGAGGATGATTTTTTTTATTGTCTGTGTGTGTGTAATTTTATTGAAGAGCCGAATCAGGCGACCGTACGTGAGGTGTCTCTTGTCTCAGTAATTTGTACTGACTGACAGTGTCAAAAAAAACATAAAACCTTAAAAGTTTGTCTTGACTGTTGGATGCAAACTTTAAATTACCAGAAAAATACCTAGACGCTTTAACTACTTTCATATACCTAAGGCATATACTAAAAAAAGGAGCTTGATATTATATCAAATCAGAATCTTCCTTGTCTATATAAGTTTTTACATTAATAAATTACTGTATGTATTTAAAAATATTGATTATTGCAGGTTTTATTCGAAATGGATGCTATATAGTAACTGAAAACTCCATCTAAAACGAATAAGGTTTAATTAAATAAATAAAAAATGATTTTGCTGACAAAGCGAATGAAATTAAGGGTACTAAATACTACCCTCAATCAAAAAGGTTTAGTTTAATAACTGCAAATCAAAAAATCTTTCTTTTTAATATAAAAAAATCCCAATCCTAATCAAAAATATAAATGTTCATAGGCGGCGATGGTCACAATCCATCAGGTGGCTCGTCTGCTCGTCTGCAATATTAAAAAAAAAGTACTGCTTGCACAGCAAAATAGTTACCTCAAAATATTATTATTTTAGCAACAATTTGAGTTCGTGACGTATCGCTATTTGAATCTCATATTCATAATCTCAATGTTTGTATCTCATAATCTGTTGACCGGCCCTAGAATGTTCATCTACAAAGTAGCTAATTTTGTGAAGTGCAATAAAGAGCCCTTTGTACTTAAGGACAATCCCAACAAACGTAAAAATACTCACTCGTATTTTAGGTTGAGCTGTGTTTATATGACACCACTTATTTATAACGCGTTGCCGGTGAATATTGCAACTCTGCCTTTTCACAAATTTTATGCTACATAAAAAAATTGGCTAGTAGCAGTGCTTTTACTCAGTCAATGATGTTTTTAAAAGTACTCTACTCAGTCATATCATTTCAGAAATGCATTAGTGTATTAAAATTTTTAATATGATTTTTAATATTTCAATTGGAATGTAATTTAAGAGGAAATTAGTCATCATTTTCTTTTTTTCATAATTTTATCTGAATTATTTAAAAAAATTGAATGGCTATCTACTGTCCTAATCCTATCTACTGTGACTACCACATTTATTACAAATAAATATTATTATTCTATGAAAAGCGATTCTGCAGACAGCGATTAGCGATTCGTTTTCTTGTCTTCTTGTCGTTGTTCTACCCTAACCTAACTTACTTTTTTTACTTTCAAAAATAGGTATTGGTTTACTATATCACGTTTGTACGCTCTGGGTATTTTAATGTGCATACAGGATATTTCATTTGAAAATAATATATTTTCGCACATTAAGCAACTTTTTTTAGCGCATTTGAGGAAATATATACAGTGTATTATATACACTGTCGATATACAGTTTTGAATTGTTTCTAGTAAGTACTAGTTTTGTTAAAACTATGGTTTATTTGCAGTTAAATAATTTATTTGATTGATGAATATTAATCGATCGGTGATAAGTTCTTTGACTTGCATTTAAAAATATCCATTGAATTACAATGGAATTAAGACTTCATTCATGTTTGACACGCTCCTATTCATGGGGTTAGGAATAAAATCCCAATATTAATTATTCTATTTAGTTTACTTAGATAAACGTTTAGAAGTATTCTTAAATTTTGTTTTTGTTTGTGTACCATTAAAACTTATCTATCTACTATACTTACTGTACTACATAAACCACGAGAAGCACTAACTATGTTTTCAATGATAAGAGTATCTTATCATTGATTCATAACGTAATTAATTCATATTTGAGACCTTACAAATTTAATAAAAAGCTTATAGTGTGTAAACGTATATGTCACACGGGATTTTAACCATAAGAAACGACATTTAAATAGTACAAATATTTATTTAAAAATTTCAAATTTACCGAGACCCATATCGTAAAATTAAATAAAGAATCAAATTACCACAAACCGATAGGTACTGTAGACGTCTCAGTTCGCCAATTCTTAACGGAAGCTCCACCAACTCGTTTTCATCCAGTATTAGAAACTTCAAATTTCGCGCTTCGCCTATTTCATCAGGAATACGCTTCAATCTATTCCCACTCACATCTAAACACTTGAGACATCGCAACTTCGCTATCTCTCTTGGTAGCTCGGTTATATCATTACCGCTTACATACAAACTCTCTAAATGCTCCAAAATACCGATGTTACTTGGTAAACGTGTTAAAAGATTTTCCTTTAAATATATATCTGTGACATCTGCTTCGTCACCTTCAAGTTGACTTAGAGGAAATTCAGTGAATCCTCTGTAGTTCCAGTGAAGCACTGTGCCTGGTATCAGTTCTCCATTGTAATCCATGTTTGCTTATTTTTTTTGCTAAAAAACAACTTTTATATTTATTTATTGTTATGTACTGTTCATATTTCACGACACTTCAAGACATTTACTCTTACTAAATCACTGTAAATTTAAGCTTTTTGGCCTTACTTTAATTAAATTGGAAATTCATCAGTGTGCCTACAAGTCAGTATAAAAGAGAAGCGCGCTCTCTTGAATCCCGTTTGAAGAAGACTGCATCTGAACGCGTACGGACGCATGTGAATTATTTTTAAATCTATAACAAGGTCTTTGCTATAGTTTATCGTGAAAATTAATTCGGTCGTCGATTGAATATCTGGCCTAATTTATAAAATTCTGGTTACTAGGTATGCAAAACAGAAATTATTTACGTTTTGGATGTTGTGATTTTTTAAATGCTTAACCATGAAAAACACAAGCAAAAAACAGTACCAGGTGGTGTGATTTGTTCACTGGATGAAGAGTTTGGCGGCGCTCCAACACAACTGGTGGCGTTAGGTCGAGGACATTTGATTTACAAAAATAAATAATGGATCTACATTATTGATGAAATATCAACGCCATCTGTTTCTAAATAAATAAATATCATTAAATAAATAATAATTATGTATTTAGTCGAGGATCGGTTGGATACTTGTGCCAAAACGTATCTATAAAATAATAAAAGAAATTGAAATAGTCACTTTTACTCATTGAATTAAGATTAATGAAGGATTCGTTAATACGAGTATGTTCCTAACATGCAAATATCCGTGTAGTGACGGATTAAGAATACAGCATGTCACTACCCCTATTCATCACTTGAATGCCGTAAGAGCCGACTTAGGGATCAAACTACGCAAGACAATAGCACTATAAAAAGAAAGGAAAACTTGAAATAAACTCTATACGAACCCATCTGGCCAGCGTGATATAGTAGGCCAAAACCTCCGTTATAAGGAGAGGCATATGTCCAGCAGTGGTCTATTAAAGGGTGTTGATGATGATGTATGTATATACGAATAACCTCAGTACAACTGTACTGTACTCGTATGTGTAAGTACTAAGTACAAAAGAGATCGCAGACCGTACATTGCGCTATTACTAATATTATGATTTTAGTTTGTATAGCACTTTTTATAATGCAATAATGAGTACCTATTTGTACATCTTTTTATCTATTTACCTTGATTATGATTGAGTTTTTTCTTAATTAAGATTCTTGAGGCACAACACTGTATCCATCAATCCATGCCATCCATCATAAACGTTCTCTCATTAATCCTTAGAAGATATTAGAACCGGGTTTGGCCTGTGTTGTCACAAAAGAGGAGTCATATTGTTAAATATTACATCAATTTTTCTTGGGTTTTACGCAGAGAATGTTACAATAAGCATGTTTTCAGCTTTTTAGCCAAAGGCACTGTAGTATTAGGATTAAGGATTAACCTACATATATAACACCTATCCTATTGGGGCGATATTTTATTTGTTTGAGATGTAAGGCTGGAAACACCATTTTAAACATCAAATTTGTATTACTTTTATTTTTTTTTACCTTTTCAAAAAACCGTCATTTTGAACTCATAAGCTATAATTTGTAATTACGGTTTCTGATAGATAAAACATATTATAGAAAAATGTTCTCAGTCAGTGTCATTAAAACATTATTAGTACTGAGCTAGATACTTATTAAAGTTATCATGGTAAAAGATATTAGCAAAATTAAAAGTCTTCAATATTTCTACTAAAGGACGACTGATATTCCAATTACTTATAAATAATAATCATCGCTCATAAATATGTGCTCTTAGCTAAATCTCTCTACATAATGAGCCCTCCTGTCGCATCTGCCGACGAGGTACGAACTAATTTATTTTAATAAGTTCCTGATGCTACATTTAAAAAACTATGCGACGGTGCAAGATGCTTTGAATAAGTAAATTTAATTTTGGCATAGTAAAATATATTCAAATGATTTTGTCATCAGTATATGAAATTTATTACTTATCATTAACTCAATCAAAAAATATGCATTAGTAATTTTTTATAATTCTATTCAAGCTCAGTTTCCATGTCAACCCATGGCAACATGCCGATTAATAATGCAGGATTTGTAGCGCTCAAACATACATATTTGTAATGGACAAGTCAATAATATGATATACGCCTTAACAATGCCTGTATTCACAGAAGCAATAATTGTGTAACTTGTATGGCCAGAAGATGCTGGAAAAGATAACCTGAAAATGAAGCAAAAGGAAATAGGGCTGAAAAGGTAGTCTTAAATGTTCACAGCTGATCATGATGTGACGCAGCTTTTTCTCACGATTGCAAAATTGTGGGTCATCTGGACAGGGTGCAAAGTCTGTTGGGGGTCAAGATAATTTCTTCCTGGGTTATACCAACGCCTCCATACCTTTTTTTCTGTGCGGCAATCCCCTCGGCTACCACTCACCAGTAGGGTGGTTATGTCGGACTCGACCCGACTAAAAACCCGCACGCCGTCTCGGGTGCCAGTAGCCGGGCAACCAGGTGTACCCTCTGCCGTCTTTATTTACTGACTGCTAAGCCATAGGTCCTGCGTTCGCTTCCCACTCAGGACAAATATTTATGTTGTGACCACAATCATTTCTTCTGTGTGTGGGTGTAATTTATTGATAATATGTATGTATTTAGAAATATATAAGTATGTTTATCAGCAGTCTGGTTAGCATAGCACAGGCTTTCCTAGTTGTGAAGTTGTTGTGAAGTTTTTATTATTATTTCTACTATATGGAGAAATAATAAACCGTTTCTGCTTTGATTTAGTTCTTTACAAGTAAAGAGACCGTAACATTATCTAATATTATCAGAGCTTGCAATAAAGATATTGTTTCATGCAGTGGCGGATTAACCCTAAGGTAAATTAGGCACGTGCCTAGGGGCGCGAGGTTGCATAGGGGCGCGCGCGCAGAAGGTTTCACAAAGAAAAAATAAATGCCTAACATTAAAAGAACTGTGTCAGTAAGTATGCACAATATGCACATACTTACACAATATAAAAATAAACCTTAATGGTAAAGAGATGCTTAAGGTTCACATCTAGGATTTATATTACGTAATTTCTACTACTTCTTTGCTTTCATACTCTGATACCAAGCTAGTGCGTGTACACAAAAATGCAGTTTACTACAACTGCAGCTGTGTGGAAGCTCTAATCGCGCAGAATATGGCGCGCTCTGAGGGTGATCTTTTTACACAGTTCTTTTCTGGGCACGTCTATCCTCCATACGTGCAGGCCTGGGCGGGATAGGTGAGGCCATCTGTCACTAAAAAAAAGAAAGGCTCGGACGTCCTAATTAAAGCTGTTATTGACACCTATGGGCTCTCGACAGGGCGAGGGGGCGGGGGCGCCGATGAGATGCTTGCCTAGGGCGCTCTTGGTAAGTAATCCACCTCTGGTATCATGTATAAATATTGTAACACGCCTTAGAAAAAGAAAGTATAATCAAATTGTACTTTATTTCAAGAAAAGCTACATGGAATATTTATATTATTCTTTTATAATTAATAAAAGGTGCCATACAAAATGTTGCTCACATAGTATCCACTACTATAAATATACACGTCATTATCACACATTCAGTACAAATAGATTAAAGATCAGACTTTGAAGTAATTAAGGTACATCATCAGATTTAAGTAAGGGTTTTATAGACACTGGGTGTAATTGTTGTAAATTCGGCTTAGAGAAGATCAAACTTGTTAAGAATAATATTCTGATTCTCTTTTTTAATTCTGATAGAGAATTTTACCGTTGAACTGGGTAGGTAAGTTGCTTCTGAGTTAGAAAATAAGTGATTCTATATATTTGCAAAATAAAGGTAATAAAATAATTGATAATATTTAAATATTTTTACACAATTCCCTTTCTTCAGATCGAAGACTACGTAACATGGTTTCGCTTGTATCATTGTCGATTTAAATTCTAAGTTCCTCATTACGAGGTATCAACAGAATAAAGTTTAATATATTGTCAATGGGTTTATGGATGTTTTTAATTCAAATTAAAGCCCAGCAATGATACGAAGGTTAATTGGAATAATAGGCAACACACACCGACATTTAAAGTCATTAATTAGTAAACGAACCAATTTTAACGAAGTCAAGACAGTTATAGAATATTTGATATGACGATCAATTTTATACAGAATCTTAATATGTTATTTAAATTTGTATTTCAAATCACAATCGATAAATAAAGAAACACTTCCATTTAAAGGTCTCAGTTGATTCTTCGTACTTACTCACTAACAAATATTCAATCAACATTCCACTTAAACCACTTTATATAATAATAAATATCACATCAATTATAAATTTATCCAATTTCCACTTCTATCACTTTTGCCACTCAAGTCAAATGCCATAATCTTTCGACGTAGAAAACTATTTCTACTATTTTTTTCCTTCTTCCTCTCAATTAATCTGTATCATATTGATAGTAAGGTTGAATGTCTAAACATCTATAATTCCTATAGTTACGTATACCTTGGATTAAACTACGAATAATATTTTGATGAATAAACATGAATACGAGACTAAAAGTTAATACTAAATGTATTTATATCTTGGAAATATCAAAAAAGTCGAAATAGAATATTCATTGTTTGCCGTGAATGTTAAAGCTTTAATTTTATATTATGATACGAATGTATTATAATTTTTGTATCTTATACAAAACACTTTAAACATACTATAAAATCTGCCAAATATATAAATAATACAGAAGTCATATTGATAAATTAAATTCAATAATGTCTAAAGAAAAACAACTATTTAAACATTCATGTTAGTCAGTGAAGACTAAACTGATTATTGTCTGCGAAACCAAACGAAGAACAAACGATTTTTAAATATATTAAACAAGAGAAAAAGAGACTAGAGACATATACATTGCCTCAGCAATATATACAATTGAGGATTAAAATCTACGAATAAGTCGTACACGACGTCCCTTGCCATCGCTTTCATCATCGCTATCCACAGACTGATGCCGGTGACCTAGCATCATAGCCTGGACTTTTGGATTCAAGGGCAGCGCTGGAAATGACGAACGACGAACCATTGGCACTGGACGCGCGCCTGCCATGAAACAGACAAAATCATTTTTAAATGAAAATTGATCTCCAATGTTACAACGCTCATTTTACTTAAACGCGTAATGACAGCAAAAGCTACAATAAGCCATTTGAAATGGCATTAAAAAGAACAATAAAGCTTTATTTAAAGAATGTTTCAATACTCAGGGATATTGCATAGTTTTTCAAAATTAAGTCTAGTGAAAGTTACTAACGTCTCTGATGGTATAATATTTTTAAGCTATCTATGGTTTTTCAAAGCAAGCAATTTCTGTGAAAGGGCAATATTACCATAAAACGAATGAGAAAAGATATCTTATAAAATGCTACTAAAAGTCAAAATTGTATTCGTTATTTAGTTGAGAATATCTTTTCGATTGCAATGAAATGCAAATGTAAAAATATTATATTAAATAGGGTATTAGATGAGTAAATTTCTAGATTTTGCTTCTACCTTAATTTAATAACAGTGTAAAATATGAAATGTAGTTTTATAGTAGAAGTTGTCCGGATTTTATAAGTTAAGAATTTTATTCCCTTTTACTTTGTTGCGTGTTTTTCTTTGTGTGTAATGTAAAAATATGTGTTTGTTTGAAATTATTTGTAACTGTAAAATGCATTTCATGGACACCGGGCCGTTCATAAAATACGCAGCTATGTATGAGAATCTCAAATTTTTAAAACAAACAAAAACATTTCTTTAACACCTTTTTTTTGACAATTTCTGCAGAGGTTATATATATCACATACAAAACAAAGGTATTAAAATACGTCTACGAAAACCACAAAATAATGTTTAAATTGGAAAAAACATAATTTTAAATGTTGCTAAAAAACAATTTATTATGAAATTCGCATTTACGAACATTGTATATAGAATTATACCAAAATATTTGACTTAGTCATTTATTATATGTATTAATTAACAACAATCAATAAAGAAGGGTACGGCGAAATATAAGCATATAAAGAGATTAACGTTATGTAAACTGCTACCAATTACCACCATTTGAAGTCCCATCCCTCTATTTCATCAGTTAACAAGTAATTATAAATTGGATAAAGGGGTTTCTACACTAAACCGATTTAATACAACTAAAAGCCAATTAAGTGCCACCTAAATCCCCCACAACATGAAGGTACGATGGAAAATTATGGTTATGGTGTAGTCTACATATGAAACCTTTGATTAACCATTTGGAATGTAATCAAATGTTCAATAGATTGTGAGTTTTATTGATCATATACAGAATATAGGTACTGCCAACTTTAACATAAAGTTTGTTTGTTCCGTATTAAATGATTGAGATATTGATGGAGTGATTAAGTAATAAATAATTTTAAAGGTAAGAAAAAAGGCACCATGATTACATGCAAAAATTTTGTATTTATAAAAAATTTAAAACTGCAATGGTAATAGTATGGTTGAATCTAAGTTACGCAAGACACAATTAAGTTGATATCAAAGCTACGACGTAAGAGAAATATGTAAGAATAATAGTACTAAAAAGTGTGTCATCAATGAAGTCTAATTTTAAGTAGTAGCGTGAGTAACATCAATTACCTGAAAATCTTTTTCAGTCGTCAGACAGACCTTGTTATGAAACAGAAAATAAAAAACAGTGATAGAAGAGACAGAATATTAAAGAAGACGAATATAAATATTGCATTCATATTTTTTACATTAAAAGTTTCGATTGTTAAAAGAACAGACTTGCATTTAAATCATAACTTTAAATGATCGACCTTATTTCTTAGTACGAAAATAGATTTAGAAATAGCAATAGACAGCATACCAAAAAGTTTGGCCACTGATTGTCTTTTGACAAGTCTTGGTTCCCCGGCAGGGATTTCGTTGATTGATGCAGGCGCCGATCCTTCTTGAGATTTTCTATGTTGCTCACTGAGGTACGAGTTAATAGACTCCCCTCTAATGTATGGTCTAGCCTGACGGCGTGTTGTTTTATTTTTTTCTTCCGATGTATTTACAAATGACTCAGCAATCTGGAACAGCTGGAATCCAAATCTACTAGATTCTCTACGTAAAGGCTTTTTATTAGCAAATTCTGCTAAAGACTGTCTACGTTCTCCGTCTGGATTTAGCTTCCTTTTAGCTCTTTCATCTTCTTTTGCTTGAATAGCTTCTAATATTGCATTTATCAATAGTATGACGAGAAATACAGTGATGCCTATGACGGTTATAGTGTTGTTGTCGCTACTTAATTGTTCCTGCTTTTGACTATGTTTGTATTTTGCCGGTGGCTTTTCAGTAAATACTTCTAAAACGCTACACCCATCTTTTACGAACAATGGAATGATTTTTTTTTTTAAATTTAATTCTTTCGGCTGTATTTGATTTTTTGTACCAAATTCTGATACAATTTTGGGTTCTGTCTTATTTTCGGACACATCGACATTCTCTTCTATATTTTGTTTTATAAACCACATGTGTACACTGTACATACAGTAAACGATCACGGCAAGAATAAAAAACAGGATTTTACGTTCGTTCATGTTTACATCGCAAAAGCACTGGTTTGTTTTAACACAGAATCACGCCTGTGTATATGTTTGTTCGCGAACTATACAATATCGTTAAGCGATGTAACTAAGAACTTAAAAGGTTTGTTAAACTTCACTTTTGCAGGTTATTTGTATTTATTTTAAGAGGTGTTAGTACGATGTGTTGCTCATCGCCGTCATTTTAGGATTTGTGAAGTGGGTAGTATGTAGTGCGCATGTGCGGGCGGTGGCCGGGTCGCCAGGGTCGCGCTCGCTTGTATTCGCTACTGTAGTTACACTCCCACTGACTACTACACATATACAGGGACTTCTAACATTTACCGTCCGCGTCGTCTCAACTATCTAATTTATCATTTACTAACTGTTGAAGACTTGATGATTTTCAAAAGAAAAACGTGAAGTTTATATAAAGCGTGATATTCATTTTCTACAGTGTTTTCTTTCTGGAATAGATTTTTGAAATTGATTTCGAAATTTTATCTAAAAAATTGATAACATACAAAATTGCCCGAATGTTTACTTTAAATTACGTCTTTATACGAGTAATTCGATTTGTTTACATTAGACAACGACTTTTACAAAAATTGATTAACGGCGTAATAGTAAAAGTGCCGATAAGTCATACGTTTGCATTTATTATTGGAAAATGCACTCTAACACAACCAAAACTATAAATTCAGACATTCACAAACAAACACATATTAATTGGTTAGATAATATAACGGCATCCTTTATTTATTATTTATTTATTGGGTCTCTATAGTTACCGAAATAAAATTGGTTGAGTGTATGCACTATTGAAAGATAAGATAACGTATGAAATTCAATAACTTTTATCTGAATAATTTATTAGTTCGATTTTTTCTAACACGTGTTGATAAATGAGACTGCACTCCATGTAGGTACTGAATATGAGATATTTCTGGACCTAGTCGATTGTGATCCTGTGAGCCAGAGAGCCAAAGGTTTACGATTCCTAAAGAAAAATAATCTTGATATGAGCACGTTTAGTTTTTTCAGTACGCTTTCTCTATAATAAACCTGTTTTTCAATCAGGGCCTCAATTCTGCTATTTTAATATTGTATTAATAGACTGTCGATGGAATGTCGACGATGGACTGCTACAAATTAGACGAAGTAATAAAGGAATTATTATTTTAAATCAACTAATTCAAGGAAAGGTAACTTTAATTCAATTCGATTAGATTATTCGTGAACATTGTGCAAAATAAGTAATTAAACTGATTTGACAGGGCATCATTTTATTTAACGCTTCAACAAAATTATAAAATATTGATTTTGAAAGATATCTAGGTTAACTTGGGTGTCATGTTCCTCCAATACAAAGGGAGGATCCTCCGACCAGGCGAGGTGATCATGCCCCAACGGTTGATGTTGGGAAGTTGTATATATATGCTAATCAGCGAAAGAATTCTTCATATCGCGATACAGGATTAGCAATTCTCATTCAGGAGTTACTATGTAGTTCGGTGTGTCTTCGTTACATGGCGCTGTAGTATGTCTTTGTGACACCCAGTTCTCATTGGTATCGACTTTAGTACAGCCTGTCTGCAAACTACAAACTGAAATAACTTTTGAACGCAAAGTTTTAAAAATCTGGCATTTTTTTTTGCCAAAACTTAGTTAAAAACAAGTATACCTACTCATGGCTAACTGAATAAATAGTGTTTATTGACGTCAGCGCCAATTTTACGCTGTTATGTTTCGTTGATGTGTAGTAATAATAACTTCCTTAAATATTAACTCAAAGATTTATTTGACTTACTTATAGTGACTAAAGGCCAATAATACTGTTTCACAAACCTGGACTATAAAGTATACCATTTTATACTGTCTCCGTGTACCTACTTAATACACTTAAATTAAGTATTAGTAAGTAAAAACAGGTATAGTAGTTATAGTTTTTGTGTATTAGACATAGATTGTGTGTATAAAAATACCTAATAAACTTAAAGATAAAAAGGTTCTTAAAAATTAGATAGAACTCCGGAACTGTAATTCGGGCAATTTTTAATATTGGACATTTCTAACCTAAGCTCTTGGGAAAGGTTATAAGCTATTAGGATCACGCCACGACACTTAAAATCGGAGCAGTGCCAAGAAACGACAATGAAGCTACGGGGAACGGCTAGTCTACTGTATAGTTGGTATATAATTTATAGAGTAGACCTGCGCTCCTAATACTGAAAAACGCCGACGCTCGATATCAATAATTCAATGTACGCCGAACAGTAACGTTCACGTCGCGAGTTCTCTCTCCGATATGTACACGGAAGCAGAAATATACTAACGAAATGAAAGATTGATGCGATGTGTTTGAAAACAGCTTACTAAATTGATAAATCTAATTATAGAAGCACTCTGAATTTTAATACACAACTATTTGAATGCATTTTGCTGATGGATATCATTACAAATATTTATTATTACAAATAAAATTGTTTTAGATGAAATGGTCGTACTTCCTTAAAAAAATGTTTGTTTTACAAATCTAATAGAATCTCACAATTTAGTATTTTTATTTATTTATTTATTGGTTTAGCTGATACAAATACAAATCATGTAGATGGAGATGCAACATAAACTTCTTCGAGTTTTACCGTACATCAATTTTGTCATATGTTACTTACATTGTCATGAAATATCACAAAATGCAAATACACATAGAACAAAAGCATCAATATAATAAAGTGAGGGTAGTATACGAAAATGCGTGCTTAATGCGCAATGTTCACATACAATGTTATTTCAGAGTATAAAAAATGGGCGATTTAATTTTCTAAAAAGTGTTGTTTCAATTTTATTAATACTTATGTTTACTTTTGATAATGAAGTTTTTACGGATTTCGGGAGCTCATTTATTAAGAATGGTACTATGTATTTTAGACTTCTTTTCCCGTATAGATTTGTGTATAGTGGTACTAATTTTTCATTATTGACGCTACGGGTTTTTATACCATGTGTATCACGGGCTTTGTATTTTTGAAGATCTACGTTAAAGTACTCCTCGGTTAGTAACGTTAGTTTTATTTTCTGATGTATCGGAATTATTTTGCAGAAATCGAATAGTTGTTCGTAGCGGTTCTTAAATTGATTTTTTATGTTACGTGGTACAATCTCTTTTAGAATTCTAAGTTGAGATTATTGAATCTGCCAGAGACTTATAGAGTAGGAGGAGTGTTTTGTATGGTATGTTATGCTTGATTAAGGAGAATTTGGCGAGATAGTTCTTAGTTTTTGCAGATTTCATTTATGTGTTGTTTCCAATCTAGCTGGTTGTAGATAATTAGTCCGAGATAGGTTTGTGTCTCAACGTTTTCTATTGTGTCACAATTACAAGGAATATTCCAATTAACGTGGTTAGTCGTATGTAGACACTCATGATAGTGTTCTATGAGTTTAGTTGCCCAAATACTTCTGTTTTGAATGGAAGTAATATACACACTTTGGTCTTTTTTACATTGAATACAAGTCCAGCATCATGCGACCATCTTAAAAGGAGGTTGAAGTCGCTTTGTAGACAATTTTGAGCTTTAATGACATTAGTTCTCACGAAGATTAGGCAAGTGTCGTCTACAAACTGGTACATTTCACAGTTTTTTTTATTAGGTTTGCCAGATTATTTACGTACTTGAGGTAATGTCAGTGTCCAAGAACAGAGCCTTGAGCCGTACCTTCCGTCACTATGATTTTTTCACTAAGCTTTAACACTAAGATTTACAAGTATTAACTTTATTGTTCTACAATAAATGCAAGTGGACTTACGCGTACGTTAGATGACATTAACTAAAATCGATTTAGAATTTGGTTGGCAAAAATCTTTCCGAGACATTTCTCATACATTTCAAAAGATGTTACAGAACATTTTAAAAACACAATTAAGTAAAAGAACACCAGAAATAATTAAGGTAGTACCGGTGGTGTTACTTATGTAATGTCATTTCTATACTTCGTGCTCCTTGCCTTTATACCACTAAAGTCGCGTTTCACGATTACAGATGGCGAATCACCGATCACTATGAATAAATAAGAGAAGTATTTGGCCAGCAGTGGACTGCGATATGCTGATGATGATGAATAAATAACATTTATAGCACCCATACAATTCTATAAAGAATAGAAAAGAAACAAATTCATTCATATTTAATCTGTATTAAATGCGTATAAAACAAATGGGCAACTAAGAAATATTCAATTTAGTCAATGAGCACATATTTTACTACGTACATTGGAGTCTGTGGTATTTAGGTCAGAACTTTCGTGCTGCTTTGAACTGAATAAAAATCACATTAAACCTTTAAATTCGAAAGTAATGAAGTTTCACTAAATAAAATAAATTCTGCGAGCGTCGGAATTGCGAGTATGTTTTAAAGAATATCAATTATTAAAAAAAAAATAATGCTTTCAGCTTTGATGTAGGCTATTATTGTATGATATTAATATACCCTTTTATAAAAGAAATAGTATTGTTAGAAATAAACTGAAAGCTTTAACCAAAGATAACCAACAGCGTCATTCCCTCGAAATATATCTTTATACGCCGTATCTTATTAATATACAGTAATATTTTCTGTTAGCCCTTTTGCCCTAGAACTACTCCTTAAATAGAAACGAAGCTTGTTGACATCGTAAATATACTTAATTAGGCCATTACATTCTGAACTTAAAATGCCCATGTCTAATGGTCTCGGAAAAAATGGGGGTATCAGACAAAAGGATAATTTAAAGTTTCCTTTTGAAAACAATACGTACCGTAATAGTTTTTGATAAACTTAGTGGATATTAAAATGTTATATTATTTAATCATCTTTAAAAAGTGAGTTAAAGGTTCAAAAAGTTAATCATATTAAAAAGTTGATTTTAAAAGGGTATGCAGTTCTTTTGTCTAAATCAATTTTCTCAAAAATTTCTAGCTTACGAGGAGCAGATTATTAGAATAGCTATCATTTTGAAAAGTCTTTCCGATCCCT